TATATAAAAATGTATTTTTATACTTTATTAGTAATATTTTTTTGTTTGTTTGGAGGGTTCACTATTTGCCCATAGCTAGGACCCTAACAGGTGCTAACCACCCAGGTCAGGATTGGCCCAGGAACAACAGAAATTAATGTTCCTCAAAACCTCCAATCTCCCAATCAGAAGCCTTGCAGCCAGATGTAGTTTGTCATCATACACATGGCTTACAAAGCAAAGAACTGTACCAGATAAGAGAAACCACATGTTTAAAGGGACTACCAACAACAATAACAACTAAAATGGATATTACATGTAACTCGAAGAGAAAATGACAATCAAGATATTGACATTCCACAACACATCAAATAAAAGTTTAGGAAAGAAACCCCCATCAATACTGTAAAGGGTGATAACAGCCAATGGACCTGAGAAAAGTATTTTCCTGAAAAAAAAGTTTTTAAGAGAAAGATTTTATAAATTTCAACCGACAATAGTAGTGGCTGCTTGGTCAATAAATGCCAAATGTCAGCTAATATTACTATTACCATTGAATAACTGAATGACTAAATGGAAAAATTGCAATGTGTTTTTTGTAGACTAAAATGTTCTTATTGATGGAATGATGTATGTAAGGGGATGGGGTGAAAACAAAATGTCTGTTATAATTATATACATTGAGAGGAATGCTGAACACTAAACTTGGCATCCAATGTTGCTTAGACATACAGCTTAACTGACTTCATTCAGCTTCCCAACTCTTGCTTTTGTTCAATCAGTTAAGTACAATTCGTAACACACTTGGGCAAGCAGGTCTCTTCGAATTTATGACTGACTAGACAGAAGATTTTCCCGCACTAAGTTGTCGTTTCTTTCTGCAGTAGACTGGTTGCTATTCAACCCATAGCTGGGAGGAGAAGAGATGGATTCATACCTTTCCCCAAAGATATTAACGCACAGGTCAATGTAATTAACTTGACTGGAATTCAAACTCATTCTGAGCCAATATCCATTACACCACAATACAACACTCATTTTTGAGCATGTTTTTCAATGTTTTTTTGCTTAAAATTTCAACCTCTACATATACAGGGTGTAGCAGGGGGCACCTCGAGGCAGTGTAACAAGTTTGTCCCGTTAGAACAATTACAACTAAGTAGTGAGTTTGATCCTCAGTAGGTGCCACATCAAAGCTACGCTTGAAAAATCACTATACAGGGTGTGGCAGGAATACCTCCCACATAATGGTAAGACATTAGCTAAATGAAGTTACACCGTTGTGACAAAAATCTTATTATGTGAGAGGTATTTCTGCTACACCCTGTATATAATTCCATTAACAAAAAGATCTGATGGATGAAGGCCTTTTGAAGGAATTTTTTCCATTGTCATTCAGTTCCCCACCATCTCTCCAAAATGTGCATCTTATACACAATCATGGAACACATTTGCCACCCCATGGCATAGGTCATGTGTTTGAGCCCAAGAAAATGTCAGATTTTACAAATCCTGATTTTCAAGGCAGGAATACCTCCCCTCTTGGAAGATTAGACTAAGCAGCCATCCTTCACCCTCAACCGACTATTCTTGTGTCTTACTGAGCTGAGTATATAAAAGTATAAATATGTAACAACTTAGAAAAAGTTGTTATAAAATCATTATTTACATTATTTGGACTCTTGTCCTCATCTTTGTCGCCATATTTATTACAACATTTCGGCTGTTGTAAACTCCGGCCTTCTTCAGATAGTCGGAATGTCGAACTTAACCCTTTATTCCGCTCACTGGGGTAGACTGTTCTAGTTCCACGTGCCATGTTTAATGGATGTCAGTTATCAGTTATCTCCTGTTAATTTCCCTCTGAAAGTTCTCCACTGCCTTAACCGGTTATTGAACTCAAACTCTTTAGGTCATGTCACTGGATCTAACCAAAGCCTTTATCCACTGTGCCATGTGTTCTTGAGAAATATGGCGACAAAGATGAGGACAAGAGTCCAAATAATGTAAATAATGTACATAATACCTCATCTCAGAAATATAGACAAATCATTATGTTTCTAAGCATTTAGAAAACCTCTAAATGATGCAACAAATAAAGCAAGTACCTACACCTGTAAATAATTCATGCTGTGTAAGATAAAATGCAATGCTGTCAGAAATATACATATTCACATAAAGAAATTGGGTCTGTTTCTCAAATAACATTTAAATTCTATACTCAACAAGCCACTTTTTTTCTTTTTAAATCATTTCACCCCAGGCGATAACACCACTAGGATGCAGGAGATTACAGGGAGTGAAAGGGAATGAGAAAACTTTGACGTTGCATTTAATATTCTGAAGATTATAAGTAGCAGGGAAACAAGAAATTGGAAGTGGGTTCCACAGGCAAGGAAAGAAACTTAAATTAAAATAGACAGTTACATCTCGATAGCTCAACAGTAAGAATGGTAAAAATCTAGTTGCCAATCTAGTAGCATGATTAAATTCATGTTGTGAAGACACTAATTAAAAAAAAAAAAAAAAAAAAAACTCAGAACAGTTGCCATGAAAATAATTGTTGAAAAGACACAGGGAAGTCAGGATCAATTATATTACAAACCCTTCTTTGAATTTTGTCAAGAATCTCAAGATATACAGCAGGAGCAACAGACCAGATATGGCAGCAATATTCAATGCACGTACAAATGGTAGACTTATAAATGTGCAAGATGGATTTTGATGAGAAGAATTGTCTGGCATGACACAGTGAAGCAACTTTCCTAACAGTAGACAAAGCAACTGATTCAATGACTCCATTTCAAGCCAGTGAAAAACCGGAGGCCTGGAGTTCAGCATTAGCCATGCATGATGGAAGACAAAAAAAAAAAAAAACGGTTATGTTTTGGAGGGGTTAAAATTTGACAAGCCATTCCTTGCACCAGTTAACCACTGATTTGAAGTCTTTTCAAAAGCAGTTGCCAGATTTACTCTGTCAGACTTGCTACTATAAGGAGTAAATAATTTTATCTGCATAAATACCTAGTTGGAAACTGATGACATTGGGAAGGTTGTTGAAGATCAGAAACAGCATCAGTCCTAGGACAGAGCCCAGATCTTATGTTTTCAAGAATTCTCACAAATGCAAGATCAACAGAATGAATGCCACCCCCACCCCACTTCACAAATGAAACACAGGTAATATTAAAAGAGCAGTCAATCAGATGAGAACAGAGTGATCATTTTACTATTATTAGTACTATTCTTTCAATTTTGCTAGTTTTTGTATGTTTTTTTTTGTATAGCAAAAAGTTATAGATATTGCAAAAAATTATATATTTAGATATTAATAATTCAAAGTTCAAACCAAAAGAAGATATAAAAGAAATTATCATTTTGAAAAAAAAACAAAAAAAAAATTGGTTCTCTTTGAATATTGGAGAAGAATGGTTTGGTTGGAGGGTTAAGTAGTCAAGAAGGAAATGCAATGCCAGCCATTTCCATTGGTGGCAAATTAGAAGCTCACAAACAAGAAACAACTTTATACACCAAAATTTTAACATGTTTGATGCAATTTTTGTCATATTGAACACACTTCTTTTTTTCTGTTTTTTTTTTTTTTTTTTTTATAATTTAACAAAAAGTGAGTTATTTATTACATTCAAACATTTCCAGCATTATGGAATGAGTCAAGCAAAAAGAGAACAAATATTAAATACAAAAGTAGTTTCAGAAACACATTGGTCAAAATTTCAAGTACATTTTAATTGTTGGCAACGCCACGTAATTCTTAGAGGGTAATTCAAACTCAAGTATCTTTTAGCAATTTTTTTTATAGACACTAAACATTACACAAAATGAGTTGTGACATTTAAAGCTGAAAGAAAATGGCATGTAAAAAGCAACCACTGTATGGTTTAGAATAATTCTGCAACTTCTTATAGAAAAACATTTCTAGAAATATCCACCAATATCAGGATTGTGATGATGAAACTTAGTAGCGTTTCATCATCACAAAGCAGACACCAAGTTAGCCACCAGCCATGATGAACGGTTGTACTAGCAATGAGACTCCTTTAAAGACTTCAATTGGAACTCGTACGTGCGTTCCATCACCAAAGAGGCTGGAAAAATTGTCAGAATGACACCTCATGCAATGATTTATCTTTAGCAGAGTCAGATCTGACTAAAATGGAATAAAGTTGCTATATTTAGATGGGAGTTGCTCAATCCTCACTTCCGAGCACTGACAGAGTTCAAAAGCATCTAAGCAGCCTTTTGGGTGATGAATTATCCCCCCCATCCCTTTTCCATAATAAAACATCACTAGCCTCTTACAACTTTGTTCTCTTGGCAAAGAACATATTCTGATCACTAGTTTGTTTATATATATATATATATATATATATATATATATATATATATATATATATAAGCAGACAATACCTCAGTTTATCTAAATGACCCAAACTTTGCTGACCTAGCTTTCATAGATCAATGGAGTAGAAAATGGTTCGTAACATTCCATACCTTCAAAACCAAGTTAGTATCATTTCATCATCACAAAGCAAACCCCAAGGTAACCACTAGTCATGATGAACGGTTGTACTCTCAATGAGGTTCCTTCTCTTGAATGTCTATTGGGTCAACCTTACTCCAGACCTCAAGTTGTACATGTGATATATCACTAAAGATTCCAGAAAAATGGTTAGGGCTGGAGATGTCCAGTCCTCACGTTCCAGCTTTGACCAAGTTCAAAAGCGTTTTCACAGCCTTGTAGTTGATGAATTGTGGCCCACCCTTCAACCTCTTTCCCCACAAATGGAACATTGCTAGCCTATTGCTATTTTCATGTCAGATGTTCAGACGGGCTGCATTCCTTAGTTCCTCCAGTTCAGACCTTCACAACTAGGAACCACCATGCCTGAATTTTCTCCAATCATGAACAGTTGTACTCTGAAATGAGGTTCCTTGACTTTAACATCTATTGGGGTTCAAGCTCTCCCCAAACATCAAGTGGAACACATATATACAATCCACTACTAATGAAGTTGGAAACAAAAATTGTATCCTTGAACCACATCAAAAAGTACCAGATTCTTACTGCCATGATTTATCTATCTGATTGCGTTAATATCTATCTATCTATACAAGAGTCAGGGCCAAGAATAGATTATTGCTACTATATGCTGGTCTGGTGCAACTCAATCTTCTCTTTCAAGCCTTGACAGACTTGAAAGCGTGTCAATGTGGCCTTATGGGTGATGAAGTATTCCCCACCTTACAACCTCTGTCCTACACACAAAATATCACCAGCCTCTCTCTACTATCACTCCCATGGCAAATGTTCAGATGAGCTGCATTCCTTAGTTTCTCCAGTTCAGACCTTCACATCTAAGACCCACCATGTCGTGTATACAGGGCTGAATCATCTTCATTCTATTGGCAAGAAAGAAGCTCCACTCAGAGAGCAGCTTCTTACTTACAATTGTTACTTTGTCCAATAGACTCCTGAGAGGATGCTTCTCCAATTACTACAATCTTTTTCTTTTCAAGTCTAGGATCAACCATTATGTATCCTACATATCCTCATAATTTGTACTTCTTACTTTTCTACAACCTTATTCAATAATCCTCTACTTTGAGTGGTTCTTGGGCCTTATATTAATTGAACAATAGTTTAAAAAAAAAAAATAAATAAATAAAAATCCATGCCTCTATTCAGCATTTCTTCTAGCAGAATTCTGGCAGTGAATTCTAAGACTCAATTTCAGACATTTTTTTTTTTAATTTATGAAAAAAAAAAAAAAACTCATTCAATCAACATTTACATAAGTAAAAACATGTCTACCTTCAATTTATCACAAAGTCAGAACCAAAATGTATTCATTTGGCAAGTGAACCATGAAAATTCAAATAAACACTTTTCAACCTTTAGAGTGTATCAAACTTACATTTTTTTTTTTTTTTTTTTTTTTACAGACCTTTAAAGCAGATTTCATGTAAACATCTAAAGACTATCTAGGACTCCAAATATTATTATTATTATATATTAGACTGTATCAAAAGTCTTCATTTTTACAGACTTTTACTCTAAAGACATTTCTTCTGATGAAAAAAAAAAAAAAGCAATTACTGAAACTTTTGAGAGACCAATATAACCACTGAACCTTTTCTTATATACAAATTTTGAGATGAACAGATATCAGAATACCCACCTGATTCCAAATGTGGCTCAAGGCCTTCTTTTAATATGAACATGTCATGCGTATGTAAGACACAATGTCCAAGAATTATCCAGCCACTTCAGCACTTCCCCCTTATGGGAGACGGATACCACAGGTGCTAGGGATTAACCCTAGCCTTATACCAAAGGAGAGGCAGAGACTGAGAAGCTAGGGTCCCAAGGCTGTATCTTTGTTAGCATCTTGCCTCTGGCCAGTGCAAGAAGCATAAGGCAAAACAATGTATCCATACAAGCAGTCACCATGTACAAAATGTGGCACAAGTCTTTGTTAACAGAAGCCAAACACAAATATGGGACCAGAGTCCAAAAATAGTCTAGCCACTTGGCACTTCTCCTTACGGGGTGGAGGTACCTATGGCTCAATGGATTAATCCCAGCATTCTCTCAGAACCTGAATATCCAGGTACCCTAGGACTGGGCTTAAAAATAAGCTTCTCACCTCCAAAACAATCCCCAACACCAGAAATGCTTGCTTTTATGGTTTTCAAAGTGTTTCAATAATTCTGATGACAAACAACAGTTACTCTAAATATCCAAATAGCACTTGACAATAGCCATAATGACAGATTTCATCCCCCAGAAACCACCAACAGATTTTTTTTTTTGTGGGGGTGGGTACAGTACATTTTGAGAAGGTCAATTACTGGTCATGGTTTGATTAAAACATTTCCAAAAATAACTTTTTCATTTCTAATAGAGACTAAGTGGAAAAAAAAAAAAAAAAAAAAAAAAAAAGTACTGACACTTGATCTTACCGTTTTAGTTGGTGTTTGACATTCTTTCACAGGCAAATCATCAATGTCCTCCTTTTCATCCTCTTCCTCATTCTGAAGTAGAAAAAAATTAATAATTTATATAAAAAAAAAAAAAAAAAAAAAAAAAACATGATTTTTGTCAGAATTTCAGAGATGAAGAGTTATTTACAGTTGGACTAATAAGATAAACTATGTTTCAGCCGTTGTGCTCTCTGGTCTTCTTCAGTTGTCTACCAATCCAGATGACCTTTAGAGAATTTCAAACTGAACTCTTTATTCAATCTACAAAGGTAGACTATTCTCCTTCTGCTGTCTATCTAGGGACACCTTGTCAAGGCTAATTGTTCCTTCATTGCTAGTCCAGTTTCCTCCAAGTAAGTATATTCATACTACCTAACCCAGGGATTGAACTCACAATTATTATGCCACCAAATTCCATAACCCATATTTTAACCCTCTAAGCTATTGTCTCATGTGACAATCCTGAGGCTAGAACTTTGAAATCTTAAAGCTAATGTTGATTACTGGATATGGACAGTGAAAGGAGAACAATCTACCCGACTGCAGATTGAATAAATGGGTTAACTTCAAAATTCTCTGAAGGCTACATCTTCAGTTTGCCAATTCCATATACCAAGCTGATAACAATACCTACCTTTTATGTGCAATGTCTTTTCAGGGACATGTGCAATTATGGCTCTCCACAACATTCTATTCTCTTCAACTCTAAGCAATGTTTATTCCCTCCTAGCCTCTGCTCTATCATCCATTTACACAAGCTTATTATGTAGAATACTCTACCCCCTTTCACCTTCCATAAATCCTGTGAGTGCCAAATTCTCCAAGCCTTTGTTCCTCTCAGGTCTTCCACAAATTCTATGAAGGCTACTCAGTTTTCCAATTCTATTTACCAGGATTTGTAGCACCTCGTTTTTTTTTTTTTTTACTTCTTTTGAATCAGAATCACCTCATGTAAGACAATAAAGCCACTAAGACACAAAGAGTGTGAGAGAGAATTAGAAAGCAGAAGCATTACTGCCAAATGAAAACAATAGAAGAGTGATCAGGAAGACAGTAGATAACGATTGACATTGCATTTAAATTTTTGATTATCAAACTTAACTAAAAGTCTGTAGCGACAGGGTTACCAATATTGTAGTGGGTTGTCACCATTATGTAAGGGTGTGTACTACATACATTTAACTTTGGCTAGGAAAAGCAGGATTAAGGACAATGCATGGACGCAATGCAATTTATATTTGACGTAAATAGCACATAGTATAAAATACAAAACAGAATGTAATGATTTCAAAACATAATTGAATTTATTAGTGCTTGGTGTACAAGCATATAAGCTGAAGGTGTGATAGAGTTATGCCTCTTAGATTTGGAAATATTTGTACCTGAGCTCATAAAGAAGAAGTAATTATTAAACTGTAGTTTAGAATAATAAGTTCGTTTAGCAGGTTAAGAAATGTGAATTGTAAACCTTGGTAAGAGTTCAGAAGAGATTTTAGGGTTCGTACTTGCGTGAAATGGTAATGTTCTTTAACGTCTGACTGCATATGGTCAAGACGAGAGTTCTTGAAGATTACATCTTGGTAGCAAGGAGAAAGATAAATAAAAAAACCGAAGAGAGAGAGAGAGCTTACACGTGTTTTGTTTATATAAGATTGTGTATCACATGACCGGCTCAGATCAAAAACGCAGAAAAACAGATTTGTCGCGTGCAGGTGGTTTGATTGGTCAGTTTCGACCAATCAGCGAGCTAGTTTCAAGTAGATTGGCCAATGAATGCTTGTTGCATGATTTCTATGTACTGTGGTGGTGTGATTCTACAAGTCAAGAAGCTGGAAGAGAGTTCCACAAGCAGAAAGTGTGAGAAAAGAAACTGTCAGCATACATCCTGTCATTTCAACTGTAAACTGATGGTTAGCTTGTTTCTAATCTAATATTCACTTAAAGTCAAAGTCTAGGTACTATGACAAAGAGCTCATCTGAACAATTACCATGAAAGTATTTATAGAAAAAAAAAACAATGGGAAGCTGCCATTCATTTACACAAGTTCATTACTGGGGTTACACTCTGTTTCTCTCTAGCCACTGATAAATCCTCTGAATGTCTCTTTCGAATTCTAAGGGTCTTTTTTGTTTCCATTTTCCCTTAAAACTTCCTCTTTGATCACATGTTCCATCCATGGTATTTTCAGCATCCTTCTGTAGAAACACATCTTTGATGCCAGAAAGTGTTGACCATGTTTGCTGTAGTTTCTGAATATGGAATCCAGTGAAGTCCGTAATGTCTTCAATATCAGAGGTTGGCAGTGAAGATATTTTTGGAGAAAAAACAAAATGGCTGCCTTTATACACATCGGCTCTTGAATATTTTGAGCTTTCTGATTGGTTAACCCTTCTATAGGTGAACTATAAAATGAGTCAGCTCATTTTGACTGGTTCACTAGTACATCAGTCTACCCAAAAATTCTAACAAAGTCTCCTCGTCATCTGTGAAGAAATTGTCCCGCATCAATTGGCATAGAGGAGGACTGATATAATATTACAGTTCAGTAGTCTGAAACTGTTTTTCTTAATGAAATTTTCCTGTTTCTTAACCTTTACCACACTGCAGGCAAAAATTGTTGCCTTTTGCTGCTCTAGGCGCATTTTGTCACTTAGAGACGGTTGTTATAAATAAATACGTTTCAACTGTTATTTCCAGTATTTTAAGCTGGAAATGACCTACTACTGCTTTGGAACAAGTTTAAACTTCTGTTTTCCAAAATCCATTTTGAATTCTCCTAGACTACACAAGGTATTACACCAATTAAACCCACATCAATTTTTTTTACAATTTTTGTAAATAAAAATGGCCACATCAATATCCAACAAAGCCTTTATTCTGGAGTTTTTCTTTGATTAGGACTCCAATAATGAGTTTGAAGGCTTTACTTGAGTGGATATTGACGGTGAAGTGGTCGGAGATGATAACCATACTAGTGACATGAAGGAAACACTAGTGGATATTATCATCCATGGCTAATTTTATGGAAGCTACTGGCAACCATCGATATACCTGATAGCCTTTCTGAAGGTAAATTATTTTATCTACTTATAAACAACAACAAAATAACTTTATTCATCAACAAGAACATGACGAGACGAATATGAGTCAGGTGAAAGAAAGAGCAAACAAATGCTAGTGTCTTCTCATATGTAAATACAAGGAAACACATCGCTTTTTTGATGAAATGAAATCCTTAGCAATTTAGCTTCTTATTGCACACCTAGAACCCCACAAGGAAAAATAAAAGTTAAAGTACGTTGAATTATGTATTTTTTTTAATGTATTTGTTTTTTATTTCGAGTTTCAGTCTTTTTTTGTTTTCTACGTCAAAACATACATGTAAAATATAATTCATCACATAATGCATCACGTCATAATATTACTCATTCATTCTTTTATTAGTGTACAAAAATTAAAATCTATACACACAATACAAAGAAAGTTGTAACAGTTTTAAAACAGTAGGCGTTCATGTTTTTGCACCCACAAAAAAAAAAAAAAAAAAAAAAAATGTAGTGGCAAGGAGAACAATTCTAGAAAGAAATTAGCATCATAAAGATTAATACTTGGTTTAGCTTTCGGAAGGCATTTTTTGCTGCATCATAATATGCCTTCAGAATTCTTACACATTCTTAAGGCATTTTAACACAAAATTCAAAACCATTTCCAGAAAAAAAAAAAACAAATAATATTATGACTTACCTGGTCTTCCTCCTCCTCTTCCTCCTCCTCCTCATCTTCTTCATCATCCTCCTCCTCATCATCATCATCTTCATCATCCTCCTCATCATCATCATCATCTTCATCACCTTCATCACCACTAAACCACAAAAATAAAAAAGAATGAAAAGTGGGCACTAAGTGAGGAACTATAATTAGTAAGACTATGCACTAACATTAGTAGTAACTAAAATAAAAAGGTACTGTTGTTCTGTTTGCAGTTCTGAGATGAAGAGTTATTTACAGAATTTAAATTCCAACAGTGGAGTAATGGATAATGGCTCAGACTGAGGAACCAGAGAGCAGAGTTCAAATTCTAGTCAGATTTATTAAAATTCACTTATGTGCAAATACCCTTGGGAAAGTTATGAATCCTCCTCCTCCTCTCTCCAAATATGGGTAAATAGCAGGACTGGCTGGGTTCTATAACCTTGAGTGGCAACAGGTCTGAGAGAAGGCTTGGTTTGGTTTACAGCACATCAACCTCAATGGGTCATTTAATGCAACCAGAAATTGTCGGGAAAAAAAATAATTTTTTGTTATTCAAGAAAAATTATTTCTTACAATTAAATCCTAATTTCTTTCTTTTTTTTCACATTAAGAGATAAATAATACAAATACTAAATTTAAGTCCTTCAACCTTTATTTGGATTTCATTCAGGAGTTTAAAAAGAAGCACTTAAGTTTTGTTTATCAGTGTGCGTGTGTGTGTGTGTGTGTGTGTGTGTGTGTGTGTGTGCATATACACTTCAATTATTAAAAGTCCACCACTATTACTGAGAAGTAATAATTTTTTAATTTTATTTTAAGAAATTAATTGCTTTTAGAATAGATCTAAAAGAATTTTAATTAAAAATGTATCTTTCCACAAGATCTAACCATTCATTTCAAACTCATGTTGTCTTATTGTCTACAGGATGTTGGGACATTAATTTTGAGCCCTCCTTCTGAACCTTGTCAGACATAGTGATCTCATAAAATAGAACAGGCATGGGAAACATCATTCTCTGAACTGTGTATGACATATGGCTCACCATAAGGACAGATTTTCACTACAGAAGAATATATATGTAAGCATCTGCATCAGAAATGGGAAATATTGATTTTTTTTTTTTTCTTCTTTGGCAAAAAGATATTTCTATAATTAAAATACTAAAGTCTTGGCTAATATCATCAATGACAATGTGATTAATTAACATACACACACAGTTGTGTGTTATTTGTTTCTAATTTATTCATTTGAAAATACAAAAAAGTTTTTTTTTTTTAAATAAAATATATTTAACTTCTCTAGAGAAAAAAATTAACCTGGATGTTTCCAGTTACTAAAGCAAAAGATATTTACATGTATGATTCTCCTTAGTGAAATTTACCAATGGTTTAAAATGATGAAAACGTTACTTTCACCAACAAAAGGTTACAAAACTCCAGAAACCTTATACTTAAAATTGGTCTTATGTTTATGGTTACACATGAGAAAATGTGAGCGAACACGTGAGAAAGAAAGAAAAATGAACAAAATTTTAATAAATGTTATCTTCCTCATGCAATTAGGCATGCCATTCAGAAAGGCAAGCAATCTGCAGTTTGCCTAGATAGGAAGTATAAATTATTTATGTTACCTAATGCAATCTTACCATGCCGTCAAAATTGAGGGCAAGAAGGAATGTATTATAAGTAATATTTATTACATTGTAAGTAATTTTTGTTTAATCCAAATACAATTTTGTAATTTAATATATTTTGTTGTTAACATTAATAATTAAACAGTGTACAATTTATAAACACCTCAGAAAAAGATATCCCTACTTTATCCTCATTGTGTGTGTGACACAGCTTGCTTGTTCTACAATCAAATTTGCTGAGAAATTAGAACATCTTCACAAGTGATAGTTGATCCCACAATCCAACACAGCTTGAAGAAAAGTAACTTAATGTGAAGTTTAATTCGATCTAAAATAAAATATAAACATTAGCCAAGTTTTGTTTGATGTATATTTATCTGCTCTCTTTTTCTTTCTCTCTTTGATTCTTTCTTTGCAGTTGTGTATCTGTTCCTTTCCATCACTCCTTTCCATCACTCCTTTCCATCACTCCTTTCCATCACTCCTTTCCATCACTCCTTTCCATCACTCCTTTCCATCACTCCTTTCCATCACTCCTTTCCCTTTGATTGTAGTTTGCAGAGAGAGGGAAAGAATGAAATTGCTTTGTAGTTTGTCAGCATGGTAGCTTTTTGTGTGGATGTGAACGGAGTCATAACTTCTGTTCATCTCATGTCGAAATTTTGCACACAAAAAACACAATATATATATATATATATATATATATTATTCATTAGTGTGTGTGTGTGTGTGTATGTGCACACTATATTTAAGGATTCTTTTTTATCTACAGAGTTTAAATTCCAGTCTAATGACAATTCCTTTTTCCTTGATTCTTATTACATAATATAAAAAGTACTAAAACTTTTGCCAGAAATTTGCTCAGAACTCATTAAATTCCAATTCTGAAAGAGCAAAAAAATTTGTATTGCCAATGCATTATGCTTAAATTTCTAAATTGTGTTGTCATATCCTGCTATGGCAACAGAAAATAACCTTAAATTGAAAGGTATTTAGTAAAAGGGGAAAAAATACAAGTGAATAATGTACAAGGTTAAGAGTTAATCTCACCTATAGTCTGCAACCGCCTCCACCCCACCCCAAAAAAGGCAAAAATCTAAAAGTGCCAAATGCCAGCAAAGTGCAGGCCTATCTGAATGACGTTTGCTACAAATGCTACACTCATCAGGCTCTCTTGATTTAGACACACCACTATTGCTACAGCTACACTTCATGTCTTTAAACCCAAAGTGCATTTGTGCAAGTCTCTTAGGAGACTTGCACAAATGCACTAGACAAAATGTAAAGGCTACTCATTCATCCACTGCAAAGGCAATAGTCACACTATACACAAAATCAACAAATGGTGTCAAATGACTGAGTAAAGCCATGGAAGAAGGTTTATGCATAAACAGTAAGGTGACCCCTTTATGGGCTGCTATGTTACAACAAGGCACTCAAAATATTCAAAATGCCTGCACGTTTTCCAACCAGACCACATAGAATTTCCACAAACACTCACCTAAATGATCCAAGACATTCTAACTTGTTTATAGCATCCATGCTACCTTGAATTAGTTCAATTCCTTCTTCTCCAATTTGGTTTTCTGAAAGGAAAAAAAAAATTAATGATGCTGAAAATACATGAACATATGTGTACATACATACATATATATTGACTATGTCTAAATCAGTAGATTGGTGAATGAGAGAGAGAGAAAGAAAAAAAAAAAAACAGACTATGCCCATTGAGGAGTGTTGGTATAAGGTACAAATAAGAGGAGGGAGGGAGTAAGTGGAGCAGGTCAATATCCTGCTACCACTACTCTCTGGAAAAAGGATTCCCCAAATTTGGACATGCAAATTGCTTCCCAGGACATAGAAGAGAGTTCTGATTAGATATTTGGAAAATCCAGGAAGTCCAGATCACATCGGATCTCACACCAATGTTGGGCTATGGTCTATAAAAGTGTTAGATCAGAGGGGAATATGAGAGAGAGAGAGTAGCAGTTGAGGCAGAGACGCACTTCCATTACACTAAGAGGAGACAATTGCTTTTCCGATCCCCCATGTAATTTGCTGCCACAAAGCACTTATGCCTTGTTCCAGACTATCAGATAAATTGAGCAGAGTGCCTTGATGAAATTGCAAAGTGGAAGAACTGAAAGTCTTTATATAACGAGAGGGAGGGAGACAAGTGCTTCATCAGCATTCCGTAATTTGCTGCCTGACAAAGTCTCTGACTTAAGGTTTGAAATCTCAACTCCGACTTGGAAACCAAGAACAAAGTGTCACGAAATTAGACAAGGGAATGGTCGTTAGCCTGCATGCTTGTAGATTCTTATACAAAAAAGTGTTCCTGCATAAACCTCAGTTATATAAACCTTATTGATTTATACAACTTTTTTTTTTGTCTTATAACATTGTCATGCCTGAAGGACACCAATCCAGTGATATCAAAGCAATGATTCAATCTTTGCTTGCCTTGTAATCAAAACAAACACGACATGGGACAGGGAGAGGCTTGGATCGAAGTGATCAACTTAACAGTTAGCCACAAGATTCGACCACGAACACACAAGTGACTTATGACAAGACAGCATTTTCATACATTATACTGTAGAGTAAAGGTAATTTTTCTTACAGGTAGCAATCTGTTCTGCCTTTGCCCATATTGGAAAATTCTCATTTGATGTAAATGACTCAATTTTATCTGAGTTTACTGTGAATTAAAGTTTGTATAAAGTCAGAAATTTAGTGTGATACGGATTGGGATAAACTGTATAGTGTTGCTTAAAGATAAACTGTGTCTAGTTCCTGTATTAAAAAAAAAAATATGTAGAGAGAAAAGAATCTTTAAAATATGTAGAGAGAAAAGAATCTTTAAAATATGTAGAGAGAAAAGAATCTTTAAAATATGTAGAGAGAAAAGAATCTTTAAAATATGTAGAGAGAAAAGAATCTTTAAAATATGTAGAGAGAAAAGAATCTTTAAAATATGTAGAGAGAAAAAGAATCTTTAAAATATGTAGAGAGAAAAGAATCTTTTAAAATATGTAGAGAAAAAGAATCTTTAAAATATGTAGAGAGAAAAGAATCTTTAAAATATGTAGAGAGAAAAGAATCTTTAAAATATGTAGAGAGAAAAGAATCTTTAAAATATGTAGAGAGAAAAGAATCTTTAACCTTTACGATGCTAATTTCTTTCTAGAATTATTCCCCCTGCCACTGCATTTTTTTTTTGAGGTGCAAAAGCGCGAACCCCTACTGTTTTAAAACTGTTGTAACTTTCTTTGTATTGTACGTATAGATTTTAATTTTTGTACACTAATGAATGAAAGAATAAGTAATATTTTGATGCAATGCATTACGTTTTGCATGCATCTTTTGAAAATAAAAATAATTGCAACACAAAATAAAAAAACAAATACATTAAGAAATACATAAATAATTCAACATACTTTAAATTTTATTACTCCTTGTGGAGTTCTGGGAGTGCAATAAGAAGCAAAATCACTAAGAAGACTTTCATCTCATCCAAAAAGTGATGTGTTTCTTTGTGTTTACATACGAGAAGCATTTGTTTGCTCTTTCTTTCACTTGACTCTTTGGAGTTATTATTTCGCCGTTTATAAATAGATAAAAATAATTCACCTTCAGAAAGGCTATCAGGTATATTGATGGTCGCCAGTAGCTTCCATAAAATCAGGCATGGATGATAGTAGCCGCTAGTGGTCATCATAGCTTTCCTCTACATCACCAGCATGGTTATCATTTTCAACCACTTCACCGTAAATATCCACTCAGGTAAAGCCTTCAAAATCATCATCAGAGTCCTAATCAAAGAAAAACTCCAGAATAAAGGCTTTGTTGGATATCGATGTGGCCATTTTGTTTACAAAAAAAAAAAAAAAAAAAAAAAAAAATTAACATGGCTTAAACCTCATGTATGTTCAGTACGACTTCATTTATGTCACTATGATAGCATATAACGTCCACAGTGTATCCCATGCAACTCCATGTTCCCCAAAGCAAGTTCGAAGCCATCAAAGCACGATGAACACTTCAAGAACAGACACGGCAGAAAGGATTAAGAGAATGACATTGCAACATTACGAGTCAAAAGAGTTAGATTTGATCATGCTGCCATACTGGTTGCCTACAAATTTTCACCAATGGAGAAGCCTTTACTGCATGCTTCTCATCAATTTGCATACGAGGGTTTGCTAAATCAAAGACGCCCCATACAATTGGTGAGGAACTGACCAAGCTGTGTGCCCTTGAAATGGCAAATATTGTTCTTGGCATGGAAGCTGCAAAGAAACTATGTTTATCAAATGATTTGATCCATAACTGAATCATCAACATGAATGAAGATATCCTGGAGCAAGTTGTTGCTGATATCAAAGCCTGTCCAGTAAAGATTTCCCTACAGGTGGAGGAGTCAAGTGAGGTGTCAAATTGTTGTCAGCTAATGGTAGTGGTCTAGTATGTGAAGAACAAGGAAGTGGAAGAAAATTTTCTCTTCTGTCAGTCACTAAAGACAACATCACAAGCCATAGATGTGTTTGGTATGATAAAATTCTTTACACGACACCAACTTCAACTTGACAGGATTGGTTCAATATGTACTGATGGTGTACAAGCCATGCCAGGAAATCGTTCAGGGTTTGCTGCATTAATAAGAACAGAAAATCCTAACCTGAAGATTACCCACTGCTTTTTTCATCAGTACACTCTTGCAGCAAGTAAATTAGCCCCAGACCTGAAGAAAACTTTGGAGGTTTGAGTGAAGGTTGTGAACAGGATCCGCAGCAATGCTCTGAATCATCGGTTGTTTCAGTCATTCTGTAAGAAAGTAGGTCAGGAACACTGTGCTTTTGTACTATACCAAAGTATAGTGGCCATGTGCTATCTCATATGTTTGAACTGAGAAAAGAAATTTAGCAGTTTCTTCGGACAGGTACAAGAACTAGCTGGATATTTTGGTGAGCCAGAGTTTGTTCATATGCTTGCCTATTTGGCTGACGTGTTCACAGCACTCAATGAGCTCAATTTGACACCCTTTCAGACAGAATTTGGATGACGATAATGACAGTGACAATGAGGAAGATCTCATCAATCTGAGAAGCAATAGTAGAATCCAAATGGAGTTCACTGATGATCGCTTGGAGCAATTCTGGGCTTTCTTAGTTGGAAAACAAATCTTGTACTGGCAAAAAAAAAAAAAAAAAAAAAAAATGCTCTCGCTGTGCTGGTACCTTTCATGACTATATACCATTGTGAAAGTAGATTTTCCTGTCTGCTTCACATTAAAACCAAGAGAACATAAATTGACTGAATCCTCAACACAACACATGAGTCACACCCAGCACCAACATTTGATGTCATCATAAACAGAAAACAACAGCAACAAAGTCACTAAGTTTGTTGCTCAATCATACAAAACACACCAAGCATGCTACTGTAATTTTATCTTTTTGCTAATATGAAAGTCGGTACCTCCACTTTTTCACTAAAAAAACATGATAAAAAAAGTTTATCATTTTTTGTTAAGAGGAAATGAAACTTTCAAGACTTATTCACAAATGAATTTTTTGGATTATTATTATTTTTTTTTTTTAAGAAAATCTTGTTAAAAATTTTTATACACATGTATACACCCAAACACCACTTACTTAATTTCATGAAATTGAGAAATTAAATTTTCATCTGAAAATTTTTTTATGAGTTAAAAACAGGTCTCCTTGGAAATCTGATCCAAATTGTAAAATAAAAAATGCAATAAAACTAACATTTAATTGAGAAGCTTTTAATTGCTTTTAGAAATAAGATTTATTAAGGACATTATCGTCTTGTTTTTTTCGATGAACAATTTTTTTTTTTTTTTTTTATTACAAAATTGTTTTAATTTTCTTTTTTAATTTTAATTATAATTTATAATATATCTTAAAATTCTGCATTACTTTTATCTGGTTAGGTGATATTGTTATTAAGTGAAAACTATGTTTATTAATCAAAAAATTGAAAAGATTAATACAAATCATTTTGTACCAAGATTTTTAATTTTTTTTTTTATGTATGTAAAATATTATGTAACATGCCCATTTTCAAAGCATGGTCAATGATATAAAAAAAAAAATAAGAACAATGACTAATAGTAAATTAAAATTTTTTCATCATTTCTAGAATCAGGTGTAAGACTAGGTTGGTAGGTGGTTTGAAAGGGGTGCGGGAACTGGTTGGTGGGTGGTTTGAAGTATTCCCACCTAACAACCTCTTTCCTACACCACCAGCCTCACACTACTCTATCACTTCCATGGCCATCTAATATAGAATGCCATGATTGCAACTGAAAAATATGGACTAGCAAATGAAAGGACCAAGGAACACGGCATAAAATGGCAAATAATATAGAAACTCAAAATAAATGCTTACTTCAATTAAATAACATAAATGATATTCTAAATATAAGGAAAAATATCTTTGAATTTCTTAAGCCGACAACACTGGTGGAATAGGTAGCTGAAACTAAAATGCCCTGCTACTCTCATTGGCCTCCAGTTCTGTCCCTTTATGATATTATGACTTGGCCATTTAATATAGAATGCCATGATTGCAACCCCAAAATATTGAGTGGCAAACGAAAAGACCAAGAAACACTGTATAAGAAGGCAAATTTGCTCACTTACCATTTAGATCAATAAGTTTCAAGTTACTTTTGTTTTCCATTGCAATCACAATGGCATTGGCTCCTTCAAAGCCAATTTCATTTCCACTGAGTATAAGTCGCTGTCAAAGAAAAAGAATTGCTTCTTTATCACATGAATTATATATTAACATGAAAAACTGTCAAAAGATAAAAAAGTTACACAATCAAGAAACTTATCAGTTAAAACTCAAAAGTTTACACACGAACACACACACATTTTAATTTTAATTTCTGAGATAAAGAATGTGCCTTGTCCATTAATCCGAGTAATGTTCAAGGAATTACTAAACGAACCCATTATTTAAACAATACGATTTCTCACACATCCTTTTTGAGAGATCAAAGATAGATACTTTTTTTTATTTTAACTCAATTTAATGACCAGGGTTTTTAAGAAATCTTGTCTCAAGCCCACCTTTGAATTGTCAAAGATAAAATTTTGTTAGTGTTTTTACATAATCGTAAAAGTAGGGTTTATTGAAAGACTGACCACCCAAAACCTGTCTGGATAGTCCCCCTTTCTGGTTGGTGGAACACAAGTGGACAGAAAGAGGTGGTGGGCCCCCAAGCCAGTATCCATATAATGAATCAGACAGTGAGCGAAGAGGCAATCATTGAAATGGCCAGACTGTGAATGTGTAGGGATTCATTTTCCATGGCTGGCACAGTGAGAAGCCAGTTAGATGAAGCTTGCTTTCTTATATCAAACGACATCACTGACTAGGTGAGAAATCATATTTTTTTTTGCTACTTCCCAACCCAACAAGTGTCTTGAAAAGCATTTGTCACTATTGTTTTTTTTTTATGGCAATCACAGCCCTAGTTATTGAGAAGAATCTGTGGAACATAGCGAGTGCCGGTGTATTCGCATACAGCCAACCTTGAATGTCATCACAACTGGTGCAGTGACATGCAGAATTGCATTGGCACACTACAGGAGTAGAGTGTTCTTGTTCAGCTCTCCAGATGTAGGGATATCCCATCTTGTTCTATTTTAGTATTGCTCAAATTAAATGGACCAACAATTTAACCATCTCAGCAATGGCACCCTCCCCACCTACTCAAGGTACAACTTGGAGATAAAAGCTAAGAGGATTATAGCCTTGATTTGTGAATTCAGTGGCACAGAAATCATGAGTTCAATCCCTGGTTGGGTAGTACAAACTCACTCAATGGAAACAGGAAGTAATAACTGAGCAAGTTTGAGCACTTCAACAAAGTGTAATGGTTAGCAAGCTTATCAATTACAACTGAGTAAAGAGTTTAATTACTCACTGGTTACTCCATGCTTTCAGCCTCCTGGCACAGCAAGCTTGTCTCACAATGTTTACTTGTTCCCCCACCAGAACGAGGTATGACACAAGGTCTTTTTAAAGTGGGGACCCGAGCGCGTGCACCTGGGCAAGGGACAAAAATTGCCCACATTCTCCGCAACCGTCCTTTGACAGAGAAGCCCCTGAGAGATGATAAGTCTGTGTTAGAAACTCCTCCAAAGAGTAATTTTCACACTATGTCTCAATAGATCAAGTAAAACTGAGTAGGGAATTTGATCCTCAATGGGTGCTCCTTAATCTCATGTTTTTGCCATACCTAAACTAAGCTTAGTAAATCCAAATAAATGAGAAAGTGTGCATTTAAGTTTTCAAGATTGCAATAATTATTTAAGATATGAAGTGCCTGTTTTTCCAAGAATTCTTTAACTTTATAAACAAGAGATTTTTTTTTGAGGGTTAGCAAAGGATATCCTATGAAAAAAGCTGCAAATAAAAAAATAAAATAAAAAACAGTAACATTCTATCAGATTCAGAAATTAAACCTCCCTCCTTCAGATAAACATCTATTTGATATGTTTTTTTTCTGAGCCGCCATCATAGAAAATTAGTAATAAAACTATGGCTGACTAACATGTGCATCTAAGACACTAGAAGCGAAAATTGCATCCCATCTCATGACGTCACACATGACCACACGAGTGAATTGGAGAAGTATGAAATATGGAAAGCTGTTGGTATAAACCAATGGCTTCTGTTACCAATTATAGACACTTAAGAATATTTGTAGAGATGCCATAATTGATTTTGTTTAGGTTGGGTTTCAACTGTGATGTATAATGTTTCAAGGATTTTTAGTATTTGTCTATTGTTTTCATGTCGAAGTATAATTGTGTTTTTGACAAGTATTTTACGGAATTGTGTGTGCAGGCAGGCATGTTGTTTTAAATGCCTAAAAATGTTAGAGTTTTCATTCAAATGTAGTGTCAAGCATCGTGAAAGTGAGTTTGTGGTGTGACCAACAAATATTATTTAATTCGTTGGAGATACACTCTCCCAAAGGGCACTTGAATTTATAAACTATGTTGGTTTGTTGCAAATCGCTAACTGGGGGAGAAGAATCATTGTGAAGAATTAAGTTGGATATACTAGATTTAGTGTAGTATATGATTAATTTAATTTTTTTGCTAGGATCTGTAGTTGATATATTAGTATTTACTAAATTTTTTACTATATTTTCATTTTGTTTATAATTAGTATGCATTAGTATGCATTTGATTACGATATAGGAGATTAATATGTTTGAGATTAGTAGAAGCAGTATTATGTACAATTTGCTTATTATTGAGATTTCTAAGAAAGCATCTTATTTGTTCATCAACTATATAGTTTGGAAAGCTATTATTAATAAATGTCTGTTTTATATTCTGTAGTTCACTGTAAAAAATCTGTTTTGTGGATGAATTAGTTTCTGCACGATGTATTAGATTCTTTATAATTGCTATTTTATAGTAATATGGGCATTCACTCTTGTAGTTAAGGGTACATGAATTTATGTTTGTAGGTTTTTTGTATGGCGAAATAGTAAATTTGTTATTATTTGTGTTTATCGATATGTCAAGGAAGGGGATTTTATTAGTAGTATTGAGTTCATACGTGAATTTAAGAACAGAATTATTTTGGAAACGTTTTTGAAGCTGAATTATTTCATCTATATTTTTAACTAATATAAGAATATCATCAACATATCTTAGGTAGATTGATGGTTTTTTAAAATCTGTAAATATCTTATTTTCAAGGTTCGATATGTAGAAATTGCTAAATGTCGGACCCAGTACTGAACCCATGGAGACACCATCACGTTGTGTGTGTGTGTGTGTATATATATATATATATATATATATATATATATATATATATTATTATGATCTAGGAAAGGGACTTCAGTAGTACAAGCTAATAGTAGTTTCCGTAATATATTAGGATTAATTTTAAGTGGGGGTAAAGATGAGTTACTGTATATATTTCTTATAATTAGGTCAATAGTTTCACTAACAGGGACATTGATAAATAAGTTTTCAACATCAAGTGAAGCCATAATTTCATTGTCGGGTTTTTCATTTTTTAGGATTTGGATTACTTCTAATGTTGACTTAACACTAAATTTACTAGGAAGGTAGGGAGTAATAAGTTGGTTAATGTATTTTGTTAGATGATATACAGGAGTTGGAATTTGCGATATGATAGGATGGAGAGGATAGTTAGGTTTATGTGTTTTTATAGTGCCATATATGTAACCAGGTTTATAATCACCAACAATATTAGGGAGTTTTAAAGAGTTCTGTTCAGCATTATTAGCATTAATAAGTTTATTAAGCTTTGATTTTAGTTGGTTGGTCAGGTCCTTAAGTTTTTAAAACTTTATGTGATCATGGAGTATGTGGTCAAGTTTTTTGTTGTAATCCAATTTGTTTAGGATGACGAAAATGTTGGTCTTATCAGCTTTTTTTACAATAATGTCAGGGTGGTTGCGTAGTTTTTGTGTGGCAATTTTCAGTTGTTTAGAAAGTATTTTTGAGGAGTTTCTGCTTTTATCATGCCGATCCTTGAATGCCTCAGCCTTAAGTAAGTCTTTAAATTCTGGTGTAGTTTCTATTAGTTGTTCATTCTGGAGTTTAACTGTGTTTTGGTATAGGGTCTCAATTTCTATTTTTTTAAAAAGTCGATTGTACTTACGGTATATATGGCAGTTAGGTCCAAGGTATAAGTATATACGTACATGTTTCATTAAAAACGACAAACAAGGTACTATGATTAAGCTTTTTATTCAATTTTTCTTGTGTTCAAACAAGAGTTTTCTTTTTTGGACAGTGTGTAGAAATTGTCCAAATGTTCTATAATTTCGAGTGCTTTCAGCTAAACTTTTAACCATTATCAAGGATGATTTTATTTTATTTATTTATTTTTTTCAATATAAGTGTGTGTGTGTGTGTGTGTGTGTGTGTGTGTGTGTATGTATGTTTTTAGTGTTATAGAGATGTTTTATTTTCCGAACACGGCATGTTATGGCCATGTTCGTAGTCAATATTATTAAGTGTTAGTCTTTTCTTTTTTATTATTAAGGCTTTCATTATTTTTTTTACATGTGGATGAGGTTATAATGTTTGTATTTTCTACTAGTATGTTTTGGATGGAGTCTTGTAAGTTTGTGCGTGTGTTTAAATGGGTTCTAATAGAGCTGTGGTCAGATAAATGTAAGGCATGTAGTCATGTGACCAATGTAATTATCAGAACTCATAATGTTCATTCGTCAAAATTACAATGAACGAACGTTATCTACGAGTTCAAATGCACCTGAAGGAACTGTATTCCTGATCAAACCAAATGCATAAATAATTACATCATTTTGTCAAAAAGTCACGTTTCCTTGTGTTTACATACGAGAAGACACTAGCATTTGTTTGCTCTTTCTTTCACCTGACTCATATTTATTTGTCTCATTGACAAATAAAGTTATTATTTTGTCGTTTATTAGTAGATAATATAATTCACCTTCAAAAAGGCTATCAGGTATATTGATGGTTGCCAGTATCTTTCATAAAATTACCCAGGCATGGATGATAGTAGTTACTAGTGGTCATCGTCTCTGACCACTTCACTGTCAATATCCACTCTCTTCAAAATCATCATCAGAGTCCTAATCAAAAAAAACTTCGGAATAAAGGCCTTTATTGATATGGGCATTTTTATTTAAAAAAAAAAAAAAAAAAAAGAAAGAAAGAAAAAATTAACATGGGTATAATCAATGTTACACCTCATGCAGAGTCTAGAGGAATTCAAAATGGCATTGGAAAACAGAAGTTTAACCTTCTTCCAAAGCAGTAGTAGGCAATTTCCAGCTTAAAATACTGGAAATAACAGTTGACAAGTGTTTATTTATAGCAACTGGCTCAGGCGACAACATGCACCTAGAGTAGCAAAGGGAGAGAATTCTATGGCAACTATTGTTGCCTGTGGTGTGGTAAAGATTAAAGTACTCAATGCCTAAACAGAGCCAAAAAACGGTCCACAATGTCAACACACAAAGGAGAGCTAAAGTCACTACTCAAGTTTCATGATGAGAAATGTTTTTATAAATTGAACATGATTCACTTTTATTAATGCTTTCCCAGAAAATGAAATATGGAGAGAAAAAAAAAAAAGCATTTTGTGTTGATTTTCTTCTTGGTTAAGCAGATCTTGCACACATTTGTCCTTTCAAGCAGTGTTTGTGTGTATAACTCATGTGTGAATGCGTATCATAATTCTAATTTATCTCCGTGGAATTCAAATGATTCAGATGATGTGTATTTTTTTTGCCTGTGTGTATGCATCTAGTTTTATCCATGTTTGATGATTATCTACATGTTAACTTGGAGGACATTTTGCGTGAGAGTGAAAGAATTTAAGTTACACCATTTATATAATGTTTATTGTTGAGGATATAATCAAGTGGGTTTGACATGTTTATAAATGACAAAATATTTATCAGAAGTCCCTTTAAGTATTTCCTGCACAAACAATCATTTTCTTTTCTAATTAAGGTGGCATTTATAAAAATTGCATGTATTTATTTCACTGTTTAACTACCTTGACAATTAGATTGTTTATTTACCAGATTCATTTTATATTTACAACATTCTAAAAACTAATACAATTAACACTAATGCAATATTTATCATTTACCAATTCATAAAGGAATATGAAAACAATTTTTTTTTATTCCTAAATTTATAAACATTTACTAAATTATTAAAATATGGGAACTATAAAAATGTCCTTATTTACCATTTTATAAGTTAGAATTGATAGGCATTTAACCAATGTTTTGCCAACCATTCCAAAATAGTGTAAACAATCAAATACATAATGTTTGTTATTTTTGTTGACAGTTCACTTTCATATGTTTAATTATTACAAATCTAATCATTGTTTTTTAAACCAAACATTGTCAAAAAGGTAAATAATAGCGTGTAAGACTCCATTTTTTTTTTGTTGTGAGTACAAAAGGTCCAAATTTGCCAAATAACCTTTATATTCTAAATAACTATTATCCCTGTTTCAAGATTGTAAAATTTTAACACCAAGTAAACAGCTAATGTTTAGACTCACCTTTAAGTTGGTATGTGACTTGAGACTTTGGGCAAATGCTTCTGCTCCTTCGTTTCTCACTAAACAATCCCCAAAGTTGATTTCTTCCAAATCTTTGAGATATGGAAGAGCCTGAAGAAGAAAAGAAAAACCAATGTATCTAAATAAGTTTGGCACTTGCAATTCCTTTTGCTTACAATGAGATCATGGGCCTCCACAGCTTTTGGTCTTTTGCTGCTCTCATCAATGTACACTCATTTACAATAACCTTTGCATTTGAATACAACATTTTCTATGAGCAAAGCTATGAGGTGGCAGAGAGAGAGAGAGAGACACTTGTGGAGGGTTGCAGAGAGAGAGAGAGAGAGACACTTGTGGAGAGTGGCAAAGAGAGAGAGAGAGACACTTGTGGAGGGTTGCAGAGAGAGAGACACTTGTGGAGGGTTGCAGAGAGAGACACTTGTGGAGGGTTGCAGAGAGAGAGACACTTGTGGAGGGTTGCAGAGAGAGAGACACTTGTGGAGGGTTGCAGAGAGAGAGACACTTGTGGAGGGTTGCAGAGAGAGAGAGAGAGACACTTGTGGAGGGTTGCAGAGAGAGAGAGAGAGACACTTGTGGAGAGTGGCAAAGAGAGAGAGACACACACGTGGAGGCTTGCAGAGAGAGAGAGACACTTGTGGAGGCTTGCAGAGAGAGAGAGACACACGTGGGAGGCTTGCAAAGAGAGAGACACACGTGGAGGCTTGCAGAGAGAGAGAGACACACACGTGGAGGCTTGCAGAGAGAGAGAGACACACACGTGGAGGCTTGCAGAGAGAGAGAGACACACACGTGGAGGCTTGGCACGAGAGAGAGACACACACAGAGAGGCCTGAGAGAGAGAGAGACACACACGGGAGGCTTGCCGAGAGAGAGAGAGACACACGAGGCTTGCCGAGAGAGAGAGAGAGAGAGAGAGGCTTGAGAGAGAGAGAGACACACGTGGGAGGCTTGCCGAGAGAGAGAGAGAGAGAGAGAGAGAGAGAGACACACACGGAGGCTTGCCGAGAGAGAGAGAGAGACACACGTGGAGGCTTGCCGAGAGAGAGAGAGAGAGAGACACACGTGGGAGGCTTGCCGAGAGAGAGAGACAGAGACACACGTGAGGCTTGCGCCGAGAGAGAGAGAGAGAGACACACGTGGAGGCTTGCCGAGAGAGAGAGAGAGAGAGAGACACACGTGGAGGCTTGCCGAGAGAGAGAGAGAGAGACACACGTGGAGGCTTGCCGAGAGAGAGAGAGAGACACACGTGGAGGCTTGCCGAGAGAGAGAGAGAGACACACGTGGAGGCTTGCCGAGAGAGAGAGAGAGAGAGAGAGAGACACACACACATGTGGAGGGTTGCCGAGAGAGAGAGAGAGACACACACACATGTGGAGGGTTGCCGAGAGAGAGAGAGAGAGAGAGACACACACACATGTGGAGGGTTGCCGAGAGAGAGAGAGACAAGTGAAAAAAATGTTAATAAATAATTGGAAAATATGAGGGGAAGGTTGCTAAGAGAGAAATAAACAGTGGATAAAGATTTGCAACAGTTTAGAATGAGAGAAGCAAGGAACTGTAATTACCTTAGCAATTGCTATTGATCCAGTTTCTGTAAATGTGTTGTCATTTAAATTAAGAATCCTCATTTGAGTGTTGACAGTTAAGGCTTCTGCTAATGCAGACACACCTGGCCGCTGAATACCATTCTGAGGCATTTCCACATGCTGTAGAGTTCCTATGGTCTGAAAGAAAACAAGCGGATATTACAGATACAAAAGATAGATCACAAAGATATCACCAACTCATCTTACTTATTATAAAACGCAGATTGTGTGTGTGTGTGTGTGTGTGTGTGTCTGTACGTTTATATATTGGATCGGATTTCCTACATTTTTCAACTGATTTCAACAAAACTTCACAGGACTACATAAAATTACCTTGTGGTGGTTCTGACAGCACCAAAAATTGGAAAAACAATTGTTTTTGCACGAAATCAATTTGAAAACATGATTAAGAGGTATTAATGAAAGGGGGACAACTCATATCAAGTTATACTTATTAATATCGAGTTATACTTATAAAACCCAGGTTGTGTGTGTGTGTGTGTGTGTGTGTGTGTTCGTTCGTTTATATATGGGATCGGATTTCCTACATTTTCCAACCGATTTCAAGAAAACTTCACTTTTTTTGGCAGGTAGTGTTTCTTAATGTCTTGCACACTTTTTTCTTTATTTTTACATTCAGAATGCTTTAAAAATTCCATTTACAAGACAATTGTTTATAATAAAAAAAAATATAAAATAAAACTAATTAAGACATGCATGTCCGTCAACCTTAAACAATAATCTTTGTCAATTTTATTTTTCAGTCTTTATGATGGTCGATACTTGATCTATCTCTTACTGTTACATCCCCAGGCAACACCGGGCTCTACTGCTAGTAAAATCTAAAAGGTTACAATTTTTGAGATAAGGAATCATTATTATGATATGCCTTACTATTAATACTTGAAAGAGATGGCAAAGGTCTTTCATGTGGTGCAGTATTCCTTCCGATCACCTTCTTTTTCTACATTTACTTGTGCAAGTTTTTTTTTACCAGCATGGCATCACCTTTCTTATACATTCTCTGTCAGCAGCACGATGTTATCAACACCTTTTACCCAAACTTTGTAAGAGTACAACGCATTCGCTGGAGGAGTATCACAGTGAATGTACCAATACAACAATCATTTATTTATTATGCACATTGGAATTGCAGGCAGTTGCCCAATCAGCAAATGTTCTGAAATTCCTGCTGTTGAATGCTGCGCTCTCATCAAGAAAGATTGCTAGGAGACACTGGATTACAGCAGCAGAATCTTTCCACCTACTGTCCTTGTCCACCCGAAGATCTATCTGCTCGGTCTTCTTCAGGTTATTGAAATTTTGAACTGAACCCTTTTTGTACACTGGGTAGATTGTTCTAGTTCCACGGGCTATGCCTCTTCCGGATGTCTCAGTTGTCTCCCTTTAAATCAACTCACCAAGTTTTTGTTCACTACTGACTCTTTGGGTCAAGTCACTAGATCTAACCAACACTAATTCACTCGGCCATGTGCCCTTGAGGACATCAGCATATGAATTTTGGGGACTTATAAACTTAATATCTCAGTAAACATTCTTTTACCAAAGCTCATATTACAATTACTGCTTTTCTCTAGCACTCCTTATTGCTGGTTCCCATATTGTATTCATTTCTATGCTTGGTCGATTTAGGAGATTTTTGTGGCCTAACATATGTGCTGATTCCTTAAGCTTTCATATTTTCCAGTTAGAAACAAAAAGAGTACTGAAATATCATGCAATACCAGTCCTTCTATATAGAAGTGAATGCTAAAAAAAAAAAAAAAAAACCTCACACACACAAAGAAACTTGGAGCAAGAGAAATATGGTTCTACAGAGGGATGCCAAGAATACCATGGACCAAAAATGCGAGCAATGACAAAATTTCAGAGAAAATGGAAACAAAAAGGACACATACTTAACATAATGTGGATAGCAGGTTTGGAAAATTTCATACTCACAGGACAGACTGAAGGCAAGAGGGTGAAAGGAAATCAACACAGCCTAGCTAGCAAGCTTAAGTAAATGGATGGAGGAGTAAAGTGTAGGAGAGATGACAAAAAGACAACATTTATGAAGGACAAGAGATTGTGGAGAGTCGTGATTGACACAGCACATAGAAGAGGGTTAGCTGTTGCCCTACCAGAGAGAGGGTTTAGCCGCTGCCCTACAAGAAAACATTCTGCACTCAGTAGCCAGTGCTACTTTCAGTTGAAATTTATAAAATCTTTCTACTAAAATATTTTTTTAAGAAAATATGTTTCTCAAGCCCACTAATTTATTGCTCTTTCTAGTATTGACGGCAGTCTTTCTTGCCAAGCTTTTTGTTTGGAGTCATGTAGAATGTCAACGTTGTGATTACATCAGTATTTTCTCTTCAAATTACATGCAGCGTATATTTTAGTCGTTGAAAGTCAAGTGAAGTGGTTTTCTGTTATTTGGTACAGTTCTTTTTAGTTCTGTAGCACCAGTCCACAATGATCGAGGAATGGTCCCCATTAAGATCTACAGACTTCATTCACCAAAAGCCATTTTCAAACCTCAATCTGAGAAAGCGGTCATATACAGCTGATAGTTTAGATATTTCTGAACAAGTTCAGTGCCATGCATGACATACATAAAGAACATATCTATACGCAAATCTGCATTGCAGTCAAAACAGTTGCACTTTAACACAAGAGGCAGTAGTCAGTATGTAAGATTAAACAAAGTAAACCAGTTACAGAGTAGCTAAATGAGATAGTAAGTTATTCACTCGATGCATGAAGTAGCCAAGGAAATATATTTTCAGATTCAATGTACAAAAAATTTGAGGGGAATAAAAAAAGTGGGAGGGGGGGGCTGATCATAGTGAGAACATCATCTTAAGAGACATGCTTTCCTTAGAAAAGGGATTGATTTACTTACTTTGAAAGCTTCTGCCAATGCCTTGGCACCCTCATTTTCCAGACGATTGCGACCAGAAATAAAGGTGTTCAATTGCAGCGGTGTTCCTGCAGCAGAACTGGTCTTGTGACATGCGAGCAGTGTTTTTGCCAATAACTGAAAACAAAAAACAAATCTGAATTTCTTTCAACAGTAAAACCAAAACTGGCTTTTTTGCGCACACAGACACACACTACAAACATTTCTGTACTAATCGTGATTATTGTTTTGTCTTTTTTAAAATGGTTACCCTTAAAATAAGAAACGTCTAAATGCAGACCTGTCTACATCTTATTATCACAACATTTTTGCAGGACGAGAAAAATCTATCCCCCAGAGATTAAATGAAGGGATCCAGTTTAGCACCTGATGAAGGCCAGAGTGCACTACGACTGAAGTGTTGTGAAAACAACAGCAGGAGATGAAGACAGTACTCGTTTACATATGGGATCGGATTTCCTACATTTTTCAACCGATTTCAACAAAACTTCATTTTTTTTGGTAGGTAGTGTTTCTTATTGTCTTGCACACTTTTTTTCTTTATTTTTACATTCAAAATGCTTTAAAAATTCCATTTACAAGACAATTGTTTATAATAAAATTCTATTCAATTAGTAGACTCATAACGATTGAAAACAATGTTTTTGTTTGAGTTTGACCAATTCATAAAATAAAAAAAAAAAAAACTAATTAAGACATGCGTGTCCGTCAACCTTAATAATCTTTGTCAATTTTATTTCCCAGTCTTTACGATGGTCGATACTTGATCTATCTCTTACTGTTACATCCCCGGGCAACGCCGGGCTCTACTGCTAGTACTTCATAAATAATGCACTATTCTGTTTTGATGGTGTAAAAAAAGAAAAAAAAAAAAAAAAAAAAAAAAAAAAGGAAAAAAAAAAAAAAAAAAAAAAAAGAAAAAAAAAAAAAAAAAAAAAAAAAAAAAAAAAAAAAAAAAAAAAAAAAAAAAAAAGAAAAAAAAGAAAGAAAAAAGAAAGAAAAAAAAAGAAAGAAAAAAGAAAAAAAAAAAAAAAAAAGAAAAAAAAAAAAAAAAAAAAGAAAAAAAAAAAAAAAAAAAAAAAAAAAAAAAAAAAAGAAAAAAAAAAGAAAGAAAAAAGAAAGAAAAAGAAAAAAAAAAAAAAAAAAAAAGAAGAAAAAAAAAGAAAAAAAAAAAAAAAAAAAAAGAAAGAAAAAAAAAGAAAGAAAAAAGAAAGAAAAAAAAAGAAAAAGAAAAAAAAAACATATGCTAATTGGTTTCAGTGAGAAAATTAAATGAAAGAAAAGACAGAAGTGTTTAACAGGTATTTCAATGAAATAAAAAGTTGTCAATTTCAAATCTTTTCATTTGTACTCCCTTACTTCTTAAAACAACAACCAGCATTCATAGTTATGATTGTTAGTGCAATATTCTGTTAAGCCCAAATATTTAACGATGCAATAGGGGAATTTTATTGTCATAACTTGCCATGAGTTTATTCAATTAACTGAAGAATTAAAATTCATCAGAAAATTCAAATAGAGAAACTCATGAAATTTTCACAGGTCTTTCTAGTTTATTTATATCTATCTACTGTTAGGAGGATGCATTTCTATAGTAAGGGATTCTACTGAGTCCTACTTGTTAATACAAAAAAGTTTTCATTCATGAAGTAGTTGTAAAATAGAGAAATTAGAAATAGAACGTTTGGAAGATTTTAGATCATTTTAGTATATTCGAGAAAAATCTAGACGATTCAAGAAACATCTAGAAAAATGCTAATTAGGTGCTAGCCCCTATAAATAGGTTTTTGAAAAAGAGTTGTCAGTTGTAAAGGGGAATTTCTGCCATTATCAACTCCAGCTTTTTGATTCGAGGATTAATATATCCAACCGAAAGAATCTCTAAGAAAAGGTGCCGACCAACAAAAACCCAAAGAGAGAACCTCATGGAACAGATCTGGTAAATAGAGTTTTGACTATTTTCATTGACCAAACTACAAATTAATCTATATATATTCACATTTGTGGATTTCCAGTAATAGCACATAGATTACTTCGCTAGCCCTAACGTGGTAAAGATACTTGAGTCACCTTCTTTCTCCTTTCTAACACTTCGCCAGTAAGCACTGTGTTTTCCGTTTTGTATGTCACAATTGTATATCTTGAATATATTTTATCTTGTGTTTTTTGTAAATCAAATATTTATTTGTGATTTAGCTCTGTGATTTGATAAATCATTTTTTTTTCTTTGTTACAATTTCCAACATATAACACTACATATCAACATGTTTGCTATTGCACTCATACAAAAATATAAATACATGCACACCCAAGTGTGTGTGTATGTGTGTGGTTTAAAATTTGTGATAAGTGAGGGATGAGTGATTATTAGGAGATCACCGTAATTCCCCATGTATAATGCGTATTTTTTTCTATAAAAAAAAAATATTGTAACACTATTTGGGTTGCTGGTAATTAATAAATCAAAAGGTGACTTGAAAACGAGATAATAATGAATAACTTAGCATGAAAAGGGTTAACCATATCAGAAAAATAGACTGATAAGTAAGAATTGTTCCTAGAGAATCAAAATATGTACAATGGACCAAATGACCGCTTGAAAGCAATTCTCAGTTTGTGCAAACAAATCAGCTGTTGACAGCCGGTGACAACTAATGCCTGAATCTGACGAGAGAAGAATGGAGTTAAAGCTAAATGAATTCACTTCGCAGGATGTCAGAATGAAAAACTATGAACTGAAAACCTGCGGCCGAGCACAAAAAATTTCCCTGGGAAAGCGTCTCTTGGGTCAGAGATGAGAGAGCCAAACATGGTGTCAATTCACTTATGAGAAAAATACATTTGAAAAAAATTTTTTTTTTTATTAACCTCCGATCGAATGTTGGAGGTGACAGGCGCAGAAGAGCGATCAAGGAAGGAAGTGGGGTAGTCTGCATCCACTGAAGGGTAGAAAGCACAGGAGACATTAAGGAAGTTGAAGGAGCTGCTCATGCCCACCGGTGAGCAAGAGTGAGAGATGGTACTAAGAGAAGGTGGAGGCAGCCAAGCAGAGCGATGTCTTCACCCACCCACCCCCACACGAGAGAGGGAAAATTCCCCAAAATTATGCAACTAATTTGATTTCTCAAGACCAAAAATAATAGACTTTTGTTTGAAATCAGTGAATTCACCGAAACCTAGCCTACATCTTGCCCCGCACTGGTTTCTAGTTTGAGTCCATAAAAATGAAAGCGCAAGAGCCATTTAGAGAGTTCAGGAGCTGAGAAGGGAAGTGACGGAGCTCAGTAAGAGATTCCACACTTCCTGCCAAATACAAGAATCTCTGACTTCAGCCTTGAACCAAACTTACCAAAAAAGTAAAACAAATTTCAATAACTCTGCAAGCCAAAAGCCTACAAGCTTACCCAAGTGTTGCATCCAATTTAGGAACGGGTTGGGTCGACAAACACTTGTATGCAAACACAACTAACAAACTCTTGTACACAGAATTGATATAAAGATAGTAATTATTTTTTACTTTTTACACCTCCCACTCCCCCACCGCCAATTTCAGCCTTGTGCTACATCTAAGCTATGCTTGGAAAGTCGCTATATTTCGAGTGCTGTTTTTTTTCCCTAATTTTATTGTATGACTTTGCCTGACTTGGACCAGCCTAACACGAAGATACCTGTAATGAATCGATCTTGACCTCCTTTATCAAAATAATCACAACGTAGGGTAAGGTAGGTCATGATCGAAAAGATCACTCCACTGATCAAACCAGGATCGGATTGAAGTGTTGTTAGCCAGGATCAATAAAGGTGCTACATTTGGTTTACTGCAAGCCAGGATTGAGATGAAGTGTTACAAAATCACGGGTGCGTATTATGCACAGCTACAAAAAAGTCTTTAGAAATTGCCGTAAAACAAAATAAAAATAATCATAAAACTAAATTAGAATAATATTATCCTATGTTTAAAACCATTTTTTTTAAATAAAAGTAGGAAACACTGGTCATAATGAAATTGGAGCGGTACAATTTATAGGGTTTGATTACCAAACAAGGGGTGTGTATTATGCATGAGTAAAAGCATTTTCCCACACTTTCAGTACAGTTTTAGGTGTGCGTATTATGGATGAAGGCATATTATACATGGGGAAATATGGTATGCGTTTATAGATAAAAACAATATGAACATAGGAATCAACACTGTGTAGTGACTCAGTTTTCACACCCAAGTGTATTCTTTAGATCATAGCTTGGAGATTGCATTGAAACATGAAATGGTCACCATGCAGTATTGGTTCTGATGTCCACATGTAATTATAAAAAGAAGGAATTGGCCAGAAAAATTTTTTTACCTTGCCTCCTGTAGTACCCAGGCCATTGTTGTTAAGACTGAGCTTCCTGAGGGAGTAGCAACACTTGCTCAAAAGCAGGTCTTCAATTCCTCCCACACCAATGGCACCGAAGGCATTGTCGCTGAGGTTTAATTCTACAAGATGGGCTCCTGCGGTAATAATACCAGCTCCAAGAGATTTCTGGAAAAGAAAAACTCAACAGTGAAAAAAAAAAAAAAAAAAAAAAGGCTTGGAGCTTCCCAAAGCATCCGTTTATCTTGCAAGATAAAAAGGTACCCGGTTTTGTCAAAATTCAGTCCTTTGGTGGTGAATCTAGAGTAACCTCAACAAAACACAGACCAGGGCGATGACATATAAAGGCCATACACTGCCCAGCCTACATGGTCTCCTTCTCAGCCATACTGACAAGATCCAAAGGAATACAGAGTATTACATTTGGGGACAGTTTAGCTGCAGAAGTTGCTGGAAAGTTGTCAGTATTGACAGGCAACCACCTTTGGGGCTCTAGTCTGGGTCTTCTATCTGGGTTTACTTCCATAGGCTTTTCCCTGTTTTTGATATGACCGCAAGGCAGCGAAGGTTTAAAATCAGGGTTTTCCTTCCCCTAGATGAACTGCCATCTTGTGCTGTCAAGCTCCATCTATCTGAAGCAGCTGGTTATGAGGTACCAGTTTTCCACACACATTCATTCTCTGGCTAGGAGCTGGACTTAGTTGTCACAGGTTATTTGATACACATGCCACAAAAGCATTTCATAGGCAGTGAGAGCTTGCCTGTGACCACCAATATCAGTGGTCACGGCTTGCCCCCACGATCACATCCAGCTCTGACTACCTTCGGAACATATATAATGTAAGGATGTAATCATTATATACATCACAAAGCCATACACTCTTTATATTTTTATTACTTCAAATATTATCCTTAATGTATAGCCATGTTTGAAATAGAAGCCCTATTTTTTTCATTTTAGCTATCTTCATACGTCAGCCATGTTTATTAATTTAAAAAGTGATGATTAGAATTGGAATAAAGCCTAAACACATGATGAAAGTGAATTTATATATTGCTTTTGTTTTTGAGAATTTACAACATGTATATTCTAATCATTGCTTCTTGAAACAAACATTGCAAAAGTGTAAAGATAATTAAAAAAAAAAAAACAGGGTCATGAGAAAAACCATCTTTTTGACATGCCATCTTATTGCAGGCATGTTTATCCATGTTTGCCAAATTTTTTTGATGATGATAATAATGGTTTAGTGATACAAGTCTTACTAATTACCCCATAGCTGGAGGGAGAAAAGGTGGATTCATACCTTTCCCAAGGGTTATCTGCATGTAAGTGAATATAGCGAATCCAACTCTGCTCCCCAATTAACAATTCAGAGTCATTATCAATTACACCAACTGCACATCCAGGCTTACAGCATCTGATATTCCCAAGTCGTCACCCATCTAGTTACTGACCAGGCTCAATGTTGGTTAACTTCGGTGATCATACAGGAACCCATGTTTTAATGTGATATGCCCATAAGCCTCAGTGAGCAGGGTCCCAATTCCTGCCGGGTTTGTTATATTCACATATGCAAAATATCTTTGGGGAAAGGTATGAATTCACCTCTTCTCCCCCAAGCTATGGGTTGGTTAGTAGAACTTGTACCAGTAAAAATTATTATGTCAAAAACAAAATTCTTACAATCTAAAAATATTTTCTGAATTTAAATAACCTGTAAAAGATTGACAAGCTATAAAAATGTCTTATTTCTGAATCTAAATGGCCAGCTACCACTTATTTCTGAGCACACCCATCTGCAAGACCCTATAGATGGCTGTTCAATCCAGAGCACACATGTGGCTTATAAGGCAACTATACTGAGAAAATCTTAAAATTTCTAGAAGGTAGATAATCCAATTTCACTCACAAGGCTTGGGTCAACCCGTACTGTGGCTTTCAGGCACTTTTCAAAAGTGCCACATGCTGGCATTAGCTCCTCAGGTCAATAACATCAAGCATGGCCAGTGCAAACTAAACTTTTCAAACCTGATTAGGAGCCCCTGGGCAGTGTTTGTGACTGTCACTATCTTATTACATTTGCTATTTTCTACCTACATTTATGTACATTAGAAATTAAACTAAGCACATCTGACCATCAAAGGATGAACAAATTTTGCAGATTTTGACGTCATTCTGAGGTCTTTTTTGTTTTTTTTTTTGTCCTAATCTGTGAATTTTTTTTTTTTGCTCATGCGAAGTCTTGAAAATGTTGAAATTATTCAACGTTTTATTAACAAGCCTCAAGCTGATGTTAAAAAATTGCCGCAAAAACATTAACACAAGATAAAATGATCTCTAGTATGACGTCTCTAATTTGTATTTAGATACATTGTATTTATTTTCAATTTTTCTAGTTGAATTGTTCATCTATATTGCATATGATCCATTATTGTACATAATTAGGTTACAATAAAATTTGTATTTTATATCAATACTACCTTATGAAAATTGAGATGTAGTACAGTGTGAGAGCATGTATCATAGATTGTAGGAAGAGCATGAGAACCTTACACTGGCCCTGACAAACACACTTGACCATGGTGGGAATCAAATCCAGTCTCATGGTCAGAAAATGTACTAACAACTTGGCCACACACACATTCTGAAACTAACATACTCAAAATAATAATGATTATTTACTTTATTTTTTTTTTTTGTTACTTACAAGAGATGGGGGAATCTCAGCATTTGACCTGCCAGTAAACATATCACTCCATAAGGCTCTCTGTAAAAAAAAAAAAAAAAAAAAAAAAAAAAAAAAGAACCAAACTGTTAGCATGTATGGTAAAGACAAAACAATCAGTGGTTTCAGTATTAAATGATAATGAGTAAATTAGTCTCAAAAAACCTTCAACTACAGATATTTACACATAATTTCATACTTTCAAGGCAAACATATGGCTTCATGATATATAGTATGTACATGATAAAATGTACTGTTGGTAATTTTTTTTTCTAGTAAAAATGTATTGTTGATAATTTTACTATAAAATGTTTTTGTACTTTCCTAGTGTTTTGATGTTTGGAGGTTTGCTACTTGCCCAGAACAGGTGCTACACCACCCCAAGATCAAGCAATCCTAAAAAACCTCCAATCTCCTACTCAGAAGCCTTGCTTCCAGATGTAATTTATCATCATACCAAAGACACCAGAAAAACTGGTAAGGATTTCAATCTTTACTTCATTTATAGCCTTGCATCACTGCCTTGTGGCATGTTAATTAATCATTCCAATATTCTAGAGAGAGCAGCTGAAAATTCCTTTCTGGCACAAAAGTGAGGTTAACTGTATAAAGCATTACATTTTCAAAAGAATTTCAAATATTTCATTTCCGACTTGCCATGACAACAACAGCATCTTACATGAAGTCAATTGTTTACATACATAGATGCAAATTAATGGATATTTCTAAAATGTTATAACTGTATAGTTATCTCTTACTACATATCCTCTTGGCATCAGTTTAAACTGACATTTTTTTTTCTATCCATATTATGTGATGATTAGAAAGTATAATTTTGGAAAAAAGACAATTTTTATTGACAAATGTTGGGAAATAACCTAACTCATCCGAAATTAAGACAATACAAATTTTAAGCAAAAAATTTCCAAGAAAAAAGGCATCAGTTTAAACTGACACCAGGGAGATACAGGCTTTTAAGTCACTTACTTTCAACTCTGGATGTTTCTCCAAGACTTTGGCAATTTCTTCTGCAGCCTGCTTTCCAACTGTGTTACCTTCAAGTCTAAGGATCTCCATTTTTGGAAAACCTTTGATGGCTTCAACAATTTCTTTAGCTGTTAAGCAATAAAAAAGGAAAATGTTAAGGAAAAAGAAAAAAAAACAAACTATTTTTGTTCCCACCCTGATAATAATCGAGTCATTAAAACTCAATTGCACTAACCCTAAAATCTTTAACAGAAGTTTTCAATTTGACAGTTTGTAACACACTAGAAATTATGCATAAAAAAGAAAAAATAGTTTCAGAGAAATCATTTCTTACTTCACATGATATTCAAAACCAGTTTAATGTTAATATATAAAGAAAAGAAAATGCCACTGAAATACCTCAGTCTGAACAACCCCTATACTGGGATGAGCAATAAAATCAAAGTTGGAGAGAAAAAAAAAAAAACAAGATTTTATTGAACTTTTTGGAAATTGAGTAATAAAAAGAATTATTTTTAATTTTTCTTTTTAAATTATATGTATAAATATTTTTAGGACTGTCAAAGATTAAATCAGTTATAATATTCCTCAAAGTTCCAGAAAAGTATATTTTATTTTTTGGAAGATTTCTAAATAAAGAGAATTACATTCTGATAAAAAGCAGCTAAAATCAATTTCAAAACAAAAACTCCTTCCAATGAATTTAAGTTAAATTTCAAAGAATTACATTGCAATGAAAGACAGATAGAAATGGTGCTAATCAGCTATTTTAGCAAAAAAAAAAAAAAAAAAAAAAAAAAAAATCTGGTTATCCCAGGGTTTCCTGGGATAACCAGAAAAAAGTATAAATTGAAATGTACATTATTTACATTATTACTCATCTTTGTCGCCATATTTATTACATTTCAGCCGTTGTATGCTCTGGCCTTCTTCAGGTGGTTGGAATGTCAAACTGAACCCTTTATTTTGCTCACTGGGGTAGACTGTTCTACTTCTACGTGCCATGTTTTAATGGATATCAGTTATCTCCTGTTGATTCCCCTCTGAAAGTTCTCCACTGCCTTGAACTCACACTCTTTGGGTCCTGTCACTGGATCAAACCAACACCTTTATCCAATGTGCCATGTGTCCTTGAGGACATCTGGGTATGAATTTCTGAGTATTATAAACCTAATGTCTTCAGCATCATTTTTTACCAGTGCTCATATTGCAATTTTTGCTGTTATCATTGGATGTTTTTACCAGAGCTCATATTGTAACTTTTGTTATTATCGCTCTTCTCTGGCACTCCTTATTACTGGTTCCCATATTGTATTCATTTCTATGCTTGGTCAGCTCAAGAGATTTTTGTGGTCTAGCATATGTGCTGATTCCTTAAGTTTAAGAAATTTCCAATGGTGTTCCTTGTCTATGATCTCAACCTGATCCCACAGAGGGCAGTGATCTCCCTTCTCTCTCTATATGTGGTCAGCCACGCCTGATTTTTCCACTTCCCCTCGTGTTACAGCTTTCTGGTGTTCTTGAAGCCTTATGTTAAGGGGGCAGCCTGTCTCCCCTTTATATTTTTTTCCTCAGCTGCATGGGATCACCGCCCTCTTTGGAATCAGGTTGAGATCATAGACAAGGAACACCATTTGAAAATTCATAAGCTTAAGGAATCAGCACATATGCTAGGCCACAAAAATCTCCTGAGCCAACCAAGCATAGAAATGAATACAATATGGGAACCAGTAATAAGGAGTGCCAGAGAAATACGGAAGATATGGCGACAAAGATGGAGAAAATAGTCCAAATAATGTAAATAATGTACATAATACCTCATCTCAGAAATATAGACAATTGAAACGTCATTGAGATTATTTGATTTAAATCTAGTATATTTTCTAATAAATGGACAAATAGTTTAGATTTAAAATTTAGTCATCTTGCCATCTGCAAAGTCATAGGTATCAAACTACTACACACTAAATGGATGAGTTTCTGCCAAAACTAAAGCAAAAAATTTGCCAAAAATCAAGGCATTAGTCAATTCAAGAAAAATTTTCCATACTGAACTTGTATACTGAATAGGTTTGTGGAAAGATTTTTGGAGTGTCCACCTAATTTTTTTTATTGTTATTTCATTAAAAACTTTACCCATGAACAAACAGAAAATTCATCCCATACCTTTCTAAAAATAATTCAAAACTTAAAACAAATTTTACTGATGGTGCTTACATAATTTAATAAAGCATGTTTTTTTTCTTACAAATTGGACAGAAAAAGAAAATCTACACTAGTACCTCCATAGAAAATGTGAAGGTTTAAAATGAATTTTTAAAAATGAAAAATCTTTCGTGAAGTTTTTATTTTAGTTTCAATTTCATGCTAACATATTAAATTTAATATTTCCAATAAGCAAAATACTAATTTAAATTGACTGGAAGCAGTTTTTTTTTCTTTGCTAAAATAGCTGATTAATACCTTTTGCTAAGTCTTCATTGCAATATAATTCTCTTTATTAAAAATCTTCCAAAAATAAAAGATACTTTTCTGAAACTTTGAGGAATATTAGCAGGCTTAAATTTCAATAAACCAGATTTGAAACATTTACTTTAAGTTTAAAATATTGCAGAAATGCATATTTTAATACTTCAATAGCTGCTTGTTTATTTTGTTGATAGCTTGATGTTTATCTAATTTGTTCTACGGGGGCTTTATCCATTTATATATAAGTCTTGGAGAAATATATAACTTTTTTAGGCACTCAAAAAATATTTTGAGCAAGCCTTTTCTATGAACATTTTTTTCTTCCTTTAAAGTTAAAGGAATTTTCTTCTGCCCTTCTTTCTCTTGTAAATGTGCATATCCTTATACTCTTTTTTGTGCAAGTAAGTAAACATTTTCTTCCTTTATTGTTACACACCGAGCAGGAGTTTGAGTCTTCTTTCTTCCGCCTGAAAGAACTGCCTAAAAATAGAGAATTGTCTGCTCTAATCTTTCAAGCTGTTGTTACTTGTTTATTTTCAATTTTATCGAATTTTTAACCTCAACCCTTTCATGTGGGAAAGCCAGAACAAATTTCCCATAAAGTGCATACTAAAAATGAAGAGAAAATATTTTTTAAAAAGAACCAGATAGTAACTGATAGGTAGATGCCACCAAAAAATGGATGCATTTTTGGATTGTTTTTTGTTTTTTTTCTAAAAATCAAAAAGTCACTACCCTCAGTTTTAAAGATACTTGGGGGAAAAAAAAAAAAAAAAAAAAAATCAGAATTAATTATTCAATTCAAATGTCCAGTATTTAATGAAGGAATTGAAATCCGTATTTCATTAGAAAACTTTGTAGAAATATTGGGGAGGGGCTGTTAAACATTCACTCTCTTTTCGATATCTTGTGCGTACTTTTTAATTTGAAGAGGGTGTTAGTCAAACTTTTACTTAGGTACCTCCATGAGATCACTAAAAAAGAGCATAGCATGATGAAAAAGATGCCAAACTTGATGAAAACAAAATTTTATCATCTAAATGTTTATGTTATTATTAAGAGGAAAAATCAAAGTATTTTGGGGGGATTTTTTTTACATTTAATCGTTCCTAGCACATCCAAAATTTTTGTTAAAAATCTTCTTTTTTTTTTTTTTTTTTGGAGTCAGCAAAATTGGCAGATAATCAATCATGACAACCATTTTTTTTCCATTTTATAAAAAAAAAATGAAAATCTCAGTTTGAAATTCTTTTAAAAATCAATTATTTTTTTCAAAACTTATTTTAAGAAAATCAGAAATTATGTTTATTTAAAATATTTTGAACCAAGCTTAAAACAAAGCAGGTCATAACCTTTCACGTCACTTAACAGATGATGAATGACGTATTGATGGATTGCGTGAGGATAATTTGTTCTATAGAAGGAGAAAAGTGAAATTATTTAGATTTAAGTGAACAAATTATTTACCTTGTTATTTTTAAGGAAAACTTTCAGCGTTCTAATTTTTTTTGTTTTTTGTACTTAGCTTCACTTTTACAATGCTTTATGGAAAATATATTATAAAGAAATTAAAAAATAAAACTCATAAGAGTGAGATTAAATTTCATAAGAAAGGTATCTAATTATTTTATAGGTACCTTTCTTATGAAATTTTATCAGAAGTGTACATAAAATACTATGATTTTATGTACATTTATTACATTTTACTGTGTTATTTGTATTTCCATTCATTTTATTATTAATTTTGATATTTTATGGAAAAATGTCATAACTGAGATTAATATAAAAATAAGATCATATAAATTTCATAAGATGATACTGATACTTGTAGGTACACTTCTCAGTTGAAATTGAAAAATCAAATTAACTTCTCCACACGTGTTCCATAAAAATAAAGTCCTTAACAGCGAAGAACAATGCTTAACTCAAATGACACAACTTAATTGTATTCTGGTTGGTCTTCCGTACTTTATAATTACAGCCCAATTATAAACACAAAATTACATTTCTTAATTACTGCAGGTCTTCTAATTAGTCAAAACAATACAATTTACAATGCGCTAAAAAGATTTATCTCATAAGGACTTACAAATGTGGATGCAGCTTTTAACTAATTTTATATTTATACCTAAATGTAAAAATCTATTATAATTAAAGAAATAACAAATAATTGTATTAAAAATTCATTTTTCATCAAAAAAATTTTTTGCTTTCAGAAAATATTGTCCATATTCATAAAAGCAAATAAAAGCATTTGAAATTAAATAATATCTTTGTTTTATTGAGTTTTTTTGTATGTTACAATTCAGAGCTGATTTTCAGGTGGGGGTTCCAATTAAAAACAAAACCAAAAAAATAAACATGATTTGCATTCCTCAAAGCCTTGTGCTTTTAACTATTGTAATTACTTAAGTGGACTCGATCGAATTTCTAGAGTTTTCATATTAGTTGGAGGAGGGGGTAATAAATATAAAAAAATATTTCTGCCATGACTTTAATAAAAAAAGAAAAAACACATTTATAATAATTTTGATCATCTGTGAATAGTTTCTGAAAGTTTCATTAACATCCGACAATTATTTCTATTTTTGCAAGATTTTCCAAATTAATGTGTGTCATACAAAAAAAAAAAAAAAAACGTGCTAAAAATTATCTATGTTATTTTACTGTTACTAGTTCCGGTGATACAAAGAGAAACAAAGATTTTTAAATCAAAATTCAGAATGTTCTAAAAAGAAGGAAAAATTTTTTTAAATAATTAAAATAAACTTTGATCTTTCCTCTTCATAATAACATTAGACGATAAAATTTTGTTTTCGTCAAGTTTGGCGTCTTTTTCATCCAGCTATGCTCTTTTTTTTTTTTAGCGATCTCATGGAATATAATGCAATATGTGAGGAGAGAAAATTATTTTAAAATTATTATATTTGTTTTTCTTTTCTTCTTTTTAGGAAGTAATTTATTTTGATCTCGAGAAAATAAAAATGATGCCCAAGTTAGTTTTTCAATGTTGCTTTTTTTTTTACAATGTAAAACGAGAAAAAATATCTCCTTACTTTTAAAATACTAAGTCTTAAATAGTACTAAAAATTTTGCCACTTTTCTGAATTAATTTGGTTGGGAGAAAACATCGATATTTTCTTTTTTTATTTTTGGAAAAAAAAAAAAAAAAAAAAAAAAATTGCATATGAAAAACAAAAAGCTTTTTTGTTCGTTAATCAAGCATTTTTTGGAGTTTGAATTTTAAATCCACAAGGAAGTTATTATATTTTTTGTATTTTTAACAACTTTTCATTTTTATGGACATATTTTTTTTTAACAGATCTGACACTATCATTCTATCGCACGTAAGTTTTTTGACCGAGCCTCATAGTCAATATTCGAACTAAAAAGTTTAAAAACCTTATCGTTTGAATATATAGTCAGGAAATCAATATAAAACGAAAAAAAGCGTTCAAAATCCAGAATTTCAATTTGAAAATTTCAATTATTATTTTTTTAAGTAAAAATCGAAATTCATTTCAGGCATTTATTTGTCAGTCAGTAATTAATCTCAAAATTGGGGGGAAAAAAATAATCTTTGTTTCTAAATTGTAGTCTTGCATCAATTTCAAATTGTTTCCCCAAACTCAGGCCATTCTTTGTTAAAGAAAGAAAAACCCAACTTATATGTTTGTTAATAATCCTGAAGAAATTGTCATTTTCCTTAAATAATTTAAAAAAATAAAAAAAACTTTGAAGATAGTCGAAAATTTTTTTTTTTTTTTTTTTTATTTCAAACGGTATATTTCGTTTTATTTCTCTGGTAGAATAAAAATCCATTCGCATTTTTATGTTTCAAAATTGAAATGTATTGATTACAAATGCTGAATTATTAAATTCTAGCTTTTACTTTCGGAAAAAATAATGAAATTATAATATAATTTATTTTCGAACGCATGACATCTTTATAATTAAAAAGCGGACTCAGAATATGTTTGGTGTTGGGGTGTAAAAGTGGTTTGAAACGCTGAAATGGACATTTATATGTCATTGATCTTCAAACTAAAAGAGCAATCACTGATTAATCAAGCATGCTATAAAAATTAAAAAAAAAATAAAAAAAAAACACTTTTTGTAAACAACAATGTGTTGTAAAAACTGATTTAAGAAGATAAACGATGCGATCTTCCTTGATAAACATTTCGATATCTACACCTATAATTCCAGAAAACAAAGAAAAGTTCAAATTGATTGGAAGTAGAATAAATAATTTACAACTCACCATCTTCAGCTTTGTCTAATTTCATTCCTCTACCGGCAAAACTCAATTCCGTTTCTTCTTCTTTTTCGGTCCCATTTCTATCTTCGACGCCTGTCTGGGACAACAAAGCCGTCAATTTGTTAACTTCGAAACAGCATCCGTTTCCGCTGGACATTATTCCTGACACGAGGGGTCCGTTCTGCAAGGTTTTAATTTATTATATCAGTTTTTTCTCTTACGACGTTCAACGAGAATCGGTGGGAAATTATGGAGGCAACTTTTTTGAAATGAAAAGGATTTCCGGTACTTTTCCAATCAAAGGTGAAAAATAGCCACGTGCGTTTAGTAAAACTCTCCCCGGTATTGGTAAAAAAAGGCGGTAAAAGTAAGGAAGGTAACTCTTATTCCTTAAATGCTTACTGGTAAAATAGGATTATCAATAATAATAATAAAAAAAAACAACAAAAAACACTAATTTTTCAACATAATTTTACCTGTCAGTGCCCTTCATCTAATATTTTTCATAATTTCTCTAATGAAAATTTATATAGTAAAATTAAGCAACAATTAAATGTTCAACTTATCTTTCTCAAATTCAAGTTTTGCAGATATACAAGGTGTTCCAAAAATCATATTACCATTGGTAACTTTGTCAATTTTATATTCATTTACCAAATGGAATTATGTTTCTGTATGTAATAATATATTATTTTATTGCTCAAATTATGGAAGATGATGTCATGGAAATTTTCCCTCTTAGTGTATGTTTTCTGCCAATTGTTGTGTGACTTTTAGAACACCCTGTGGTGGTTGCCATTGGATTATTGATCAAAAATTGTTGAGTAAATTAGGCTACGTGATGACATTAACAATTTCCTCTCACATTAAATTTCAGTATTCAACAAACATAGAATAAGGACAACATGAGAAACAACAGTTTTTGCACAACAATGAATAAAATATTTATATAACAAAGAGGTATAAACAACTGGAGTAAAAAGGTAGTTTAAAAAGTTCAAATGTCCTTTTATGTCTAGATGAAAAGTTATCAAAGATCTGGTTTGATAGATTATAATTTGTTGAATGGTCTGTACAATAATGAGAAAGTATGTTTTGGTATTATAGTAATTTAAGAAAAAAATAAACAGTTTAAATTTGTACTTAAAGTAGAGAAATATTGTTTACGACTTACTTTAATGTTTACGGAATTGTCGCCCTTTGATTTGTTTTCACTTGTTCGAAGAGAATATTCTAGTTGGGGTAAGTGTTTCTTAACAAGCTGTGTTTATGTTAATTGCAATAATTAAAGTTGAGCTTGAAAGTGTATGAAAAAGATTTGTGTATTAAGTTGAATGTGGAAAACTTGAGTTGATTGTTTGTCATAAAATATTGCTGTGTGAATGAGTGTTCTCTCAGGCTGGAATCATGTTAAGGAACTTTAACGTAAAGCCTGGAACAGTGTGACGAGTTCAAAGGATTCCGATCGGCACACTGTCAAGGATGAAAGATGTTTCATATTTTATTGCTAACTTTTGTCATGTGATAGGCTCACAGAAGCTTGATAGATTTTGGCAGAATCATCTTTTTGGTCAGGTCAAGAACTAGGTCGATGTTATTAAATATTAAGTGACCAATTAGAAATTGAGATTTTCTGAAAATATTTATTAAGCTGAATAAGCTCTGTGATCCACTTTTTGTACAAAAATTGATATTGATATTCAGACATGATTTAAATATTAAGTGACCAATCAGAAGTTGAGGTTTTCTGAAAATATTTATTAAGCTGAATAAGCTCTGTGATCCACTTTTTGTACAAAAATTGATGCTGATAAAAAGGTGGTAGTGGGATGCTAAAACCCTGTAGGAGCAGTACTTGTCAGGTTTGAGAGTAAAACTGAATTTATTTGCAGAAATCCTATTCCTATGGATGTAGGTACCTCCACAGATTCATGATACCTAAGGTTTAAAATGAATTTTAAAAAAATGAAAAGTCTTTCTTGAAGCTTTTATTTTAGTTTTAAATTCAAGCTAATAGATTAAATTTAATATTTCCAAAAGGCAAAATTTTGCTCCATTTCAAAGTTAATTTAAATTGACTGGAAGGAGTTTTCATTTCGATATTACTAAAATTGCTGATTTTAATGCCATTTTTAGCCATCTGTCAGCACAATGTAATTTTCTTTGTCAAAAATTTTTTTTAAAATAAAATATATATTATTATTGACTTTTTAAAAATAAAATTAATTTTCTTTTATTTGAGGAATACTAACTGATATAAATTTTAATTATTCTGATTTGAAATAAATATTACTTTTAGTTTCAAATATCACAGAAATGCATTTTTTAACACATTGCTAGGTGTTTATTTAAAGTGTTGACAAATGGAAGGTTATCTAATTTTTTCTACAGAGGGTCATATCTGTAAAAATTACTTTACGAATATAACATGAACACCTTTTTTTATGTAATTTTTAAATACCAAGTAATCTTAAACATTTAAGAAAGTATTACCCATAATCTAATGTTTTATTGAATTTTAGGTGCATTGGCTTTAAATTTACTATAGCTATCACTCTGATAAAGTCATGTATGGATGTCCATGTTTACAAAAATCAGTACATTTATACACACACAAAAAAAAAAAATTTTCAAAATTCTTTTTAAAATATTGGTGGTCAATGAATTGTAATAATTCTATTTATGATTAGTAAATATAGTTTTTATTTAATGACATTATCACCTAACCAGGACAAAGTAATACAGAAATTTAAAAGATTTAAAACTTTATAAATTATTCTAATTGAAATTAAAAAAAAGTGAAAACAATTTTTGAAAAATTCATTATTCATCAAAAAAAATTTTTTCATTAAGACAATAGTGTCCATAATATATCTTATTTATAATGGCAATTAGAAGCATTTCTAATTAATCAATGTCTTAGCTTTACTGTATTTTTTATTTTCAGTAACTAGGGATATTGTTTTACAAGAAACTGATAATTTAAATTCTCCAAGTTCTGCTTTTAATTAATATAAACATTAATCAGGAGGAAATTTAATTTCTCAATTTCCTAAAATTAAATGTCAGACCAAAAAAGAAAAAAAATTCTAAATTAATTTCATTCATTTGTGAATAAATCCAGAAAGTTTCATTAAAATTCAACAGTTAAATTATTTCATTTTTACAAGAATTTCTAAATCAATGTTTTTCACTACAAAATTCCACTGAAATTTCTTATGCTAATCTCTGCCCCCCCCCACCTCACCGCCCCCATTAATGCAAAATGAAAGCAAATTTTTTTTAACCAAAATTTCAAACATTCTAAAAAGGGTCAATAAATTTAATAATCCTTTGGCCTTTCCTCTTAATAATAACAAAGATGTTGATGATAAAATATTATTTTTCTTAAGTTTTGGAATGCTATGCCTGTTGATATTGAGCACTTTAGTTAATTATCTTAAAAGTGTTTTCCCTCAGAAATACACTTATCAACATTTTATATTTTTTGCAAAACACAGTCTTTGTTATAACACTTAAATCTATTCAGTGAAAATTTTCAGATCAAAATTCAGTCAATAATTGAGCCAAGCTTCAGACTCATTGATCCACACTTGAACTTCAATTACAATTATAAATATGCTAACTGAAAAAAAAAAAAAATTAACAATACTTATTTTTTTTCCCATCATTATTACTATTGTGATTGACAAGCAGAAACCATGGAAATTTTTCTCTCCATTTTATCTTACATATCTATAAGTCTAACATTCACCATGCACATATTGTCCAGTGCTCTTGCTAATTTAGAGATACTTGATAAAATCCATAAGTGAATCAGCAATATTATTGATCCTGGTCTGGCATCTCAGCTTCAGTTACTTTCCCATCACCATAAAGTTGCTTCCCTGTGCCTTTTCTATAAATACTTTCATGGTAATTGTTCAGATGAACTCATCACTATGGTATTTTTTCTTAAAAATGTTGTTTTTTTATTCCCCTCCCCCCCACAGACAATGTACATATGGGGACTAGTTAGGATTTTCATAGAGACAATGAGGTATTATGGTGAATGTAGTAAGAAAGGTAAGTAAGAATGTGTTGTTTTGGTGTTAGGAATATCGTGGTATGTTTGGGTCAGTGTTTATGGCTAAGTTTAAAGACTGTCCTTTTCCCTATTCCCCATTTTTGGCCTTGTACCACATTTTCTGTAAATAAGCAGAAATAAATATCGCTCATCACTATGCTACCTAGACTTTATGAATTTGAGCTCAGTACTAGATTGGCAACTAGGTCTCATCAATTTACAGTTGAATTGGCTAGATATAATTGTAAGTTCTATGCTAACAGTTTTTTTTCTTGCTCTTTGTGGAACTCTTCCAGCTTCTCCTTGGTAATGTTTTTTTTGTTTTCTATTAGGACCTTGAATAAGTTCTGTTTTTCAACAGATGGCATTCCCAGAACTGCGTAGGTGTAATTTTAGATGGTAATGCATCTATAAGGAAGTACTATAAGCATAGTGTTAAACATGTCAGATTTCGTGCCCAAGAAAGTGTATTTGCAGGGACTTTTACTGCACTGTTTTATTTAAAAGAAATCTGCAGCTGAAGCACACACAATTCTTGTTGAGACTTACGGTGACCATGCTCTCTTGGAAACAACATGCAGAGATTGGTTTAGACGCTTCAAAAATAATGATTTTGATGTTGAAAATAAAGAACACTCTGGTGCACTGAAAAAGTTTGAAGACAAAGAATTGGAGGCATTACTTCATGAAGATTCATGTCAGGCGCAAGCTGAACTTGCAGAATCATTAGGAGTTGATCACACAACAGTCTCGAAACATTTGAAAGCATTAGGAATGATTCAAAAGCAAGGACATTGGGTGCCATATGAGTTGAAGCTGAGAGACGTCGAACGGTGTCTTGTCACATGTGGACAGCTGCTTTAATAGCAGAAAAGGAAACTTTTTTTTGTATCAGATCGTGACTGGCAATGAAAAGTGGATACTCTATAACTTTAAGCGTACAAAATCATGAGGCAAGCCTAGCCATGCATCAACATCAGTGGCAAAGCCGAATATCCATGGTTCGAAGCTTCCGCTCTGCATTTGATGGGATCAGCTGGTTGCAATTTATTATGAGCTGCTCAAACCAACCGAAACCATTACAGGAGATTACTATTAACTACAATTGATGCATT